AACCACGAGGGAGCTCTGTAAGAGCTGGGATTTCTGCTTGCCCTCCAGTCACACCCTGGGCTTTGGGGCATCTACAGAGATCTCTGGGGGGAACCTCAGAGGGCTCCTGCACTCTCCTGCCCCGCACACAGCCACGGGCAGCTGAGCGCTGCAGAGTGTTGGGGGAGGAGGATTCTCAGGACCCTTGCTCGTGCCAGCCCTCGGCAGCTGAGTGTCAGGAGTGACTCGGGGTGATAAGCCTTCTCCCTCCCTTCCTCCCTCCCTTCCTTTCTCTCTCTCTCTCTCTCTCTCTCTCTCTCTCTCTCTCTCTTTGAAAGACTTACAGAGAGGGAAGGAGAGACAGAGGTCTTCCGTCCATTGGTCACCCCCTAAATGGTTGCAACTGAAGCCAGGTGTTTCATCTTGGTCTTTCATGTGGGTAGAAGGGATGGCACTTGGGCCACCTTCTGTTGCTTTTCCAGGCCATCAGCAGGAGCTGGATCGGAGGTGGAGCAGCCGGGACGTGGGCCGGTGCCGTATGGGCTGCTGGATCACACGGTGCCGTATGGGCTGCTGGATCACACGGTGCCGTATGGGCTGCTGGATCACACGGGGCCGTATGGGCTGCTGGATCACACGGTGCCGTATGGGCTGCTGGATCACACGGGGCCGTATGGGCTGCTGGGTCACACGGGGCCGTATGGGCTGCTGGGTCACAGGCAGCGGCTAACTTGCTGTGTAAAGTTCTCAGAATCCTGCTGCTTGCTCCTCATCCCCATCTCCGCAGACATTTTTTCTCTTGCATCGACACCAAGAAGGTTAGGAGCCTCTCCTTGCTCAGCAGAGGCTACCGTCTTTTCTAGAGTTTACTTCACTTAAGTTTTTTTAATCTCAGCTCTGATTTTTTTATGGAGATTGATTTGGTGGCTTATACATCTTGAGTTAGCAAGAGCAGCAGTTTTGTGGGATTTTCTTCATTCCCTTATCTCCTACCTCCCATTTTCTGCCATTTGATTCTCTGAGCTTTGCGCGATCTTATACAAATTCTCTCACCGTTTGCAGCTAGTCTGCTCTAATCTTCTCCCTTGGCTGTATACCCGTGTATGCACCTCTTTCTGTCTTTAGAAATTCTATTCTGTTAGTCTGGCACCTTCTCACAATCTCTGATTTCTGTGTCACACTTTCATATTCTCGTATTTCTTCCCAAATGTTAAGCACACTGAGGTCAGTGCTGTGGCGCAGCAGGTTAAGCTGCTGCCTGCAGTGCCGGCATCCCGTATAGGCACTGGTTCAAGTCCCGGCTGCTCCGCTTCCGCTCCAGCTCCATGCTAGTGCCCCTGGAAAAACAGCAGAGGGTGGCCCAAGTGCTTGGGCAGTTGTACCCACCTGAGAGACCCGGATGAAGTTCTTGGCTTCTGAATTCAGGCTGGCCCAGCCCTGGCCATTGTGGCCATCTGGGGAGTGAACCAATGGATGGAAGACCTCTCTCTCTGCCTCTCACTCTCCCTCTCTGAAACTCTACCTTTCAAATACATAAATCTTTTGAAAAATGTTGAACAGGCTTCATGTATTCTCAGCGTGATAAACAACACATGCACAAGCTCTGTGCGTCTGGCCGCGGGCAGTTTGCTGGTTCTGGAAATTCTCATCAGAGCGCTGTTTCCTTCTGTTTCTCATCTGTTTAGAAATTTGGCAGGAATGAGTAGGGAGCCACACTCCCGGCAGCTTCGTCTGTGGGCCAGGTTTACAATGACCGTCCTTGAATGAGAATGTCCGTTGCCTTGTCCACGCTCCTGGTGCCCTGGGGGGCTCGGGCCCCACAGGTGGTGCACATTCCCGCTCCACTCCCTCGCGTAGGCCTGGGGTGGCGACTCACCTGGGAGATGTGTGTGTGTGCCTCCCCTGTCCCGCCCATAGCTGGACACACACTAGCAGTCCTCCATTCGTGCTTTGTGGACTTCTGATTCCCAGACACCAGCATCCCCGGAGGTGCTGCACAGCGGGGGTGGCTGGGGCCCAGCCTGCCCGAGATCCCGCAGCACAGAGTCCGGCATCCAAGCAAAGGCACCGCTCCCCCCAGCAGCCCTTCACTCGTGAGTCTTGTCTGTTACCGGCACTTGTCTGTGCTCACCAACTGCGCAGGGCTGCTTGCGAAGCCACACAACCCCGTGTGTTAAGATGGAGACGCGGGATTCTGCAGAAGCAGAAGGGGCAGGAAGAGGACCGCCCCGTCGGCGGCCCGCTGAGCGCCAGGTCAACGGAACAGGAGAGCCCACGGCTGACTTTCCCAGCGCCCTCCCGCAAGTTCCTGACCATTCCCCATCGACGCCACATCGGAGGAAACGGGTTAGTGAGGTTCACGGCTCTGAGCCCCACTCACATGGCGAAGTCTTCAAGGCATGGCTGTTGTCTGCAACGCGGGACGTTCACGTGGGCAGCCGGCCGAGCTAAGGGCTTTGCTGCTTAGCGTGGCCTGCCCACGGTCACTCTGCCACCGCACCGCCAGTTCCCACCTGGACCCCTCACCCTGTCCCTTTTTTTTTTTTTTTGGTCAAAGCATTGATTTAGGAATATTTCAGATGCCCCGGAGTTTGCCGGGAACAGGTAAACCACTTGCTGCGGTTTATTCCTTTCGGAAACGCTCTCCAAAAGCACCAGCCTCACGCTCGGCTCCCCTCCCACCCTCACCGCTTCCTAGAATGGAGCCCAGCAACCAGGCTGAGTGCGATGGGCGGTGCCTGCAGGCCAGCAGGCGGCCCCGGGCGACGGCCCTGCCGCTGCCCGCTCTGGGCGAGCCTGCAGTGCCCTCTGCCGGCCACAGGACACAACGTTCACAGAGCACCCTCACTATCGCCTACAGGCTGACTTCGCTCAGCAGGTGCATACTGAGGGCGAGAGGGATCCGGTGTCAGAAGCGCCCCACCCCGCCATCACACCTCCTCCGCATCACCCCCGAGCAGGCACAGCCAGAGAACCGCCGCTGCATTGCACTGCACCGCCTGCCCGGCCCCTCCCTAGGGCTCCCTCACTGCCCACCAGGCTCCCTCACTGCCCACCAGGCTCCCGGGACCCGGCACCAGCGCGGCTGCGCAGACTCAAGCCCCACCCAACTCCAGGTTCAAGGGTTCGTTCGTTTTCTCCCATACGCAGCATTTTGCTCCAGTGAGAAGAACCTGCGACAGTATCCTGCTTGGCTTCCAGAAACTAACAGAAGCTCGAAGGTGGAGGCGACAGCACCACAGGCCGCTTCAGGACTGCTCCCTGTGGGACCCAACGTGGAGCGGTGCAGACGAGCAAACCCAACACCCGCTGAGCGCAGGGAACGTCAGGGCATGGTCCCCCCTCCGTACAGATGCACCTGACCCCTTTCTGGGCAGGCCCACTCTGCCAGCAGACGGTCCCTGCTCTTCTCGTCCCCAGGCCCTCATCCTGACCCAACTCCAAGCCAGCCCCTCATCACACAGAGCCCCCTGCACCTGACTCAGGTTCCCGCTGCTCAGCCCCCCGCGCCGCGGGCTGTCTGCTCCTCGCACTCCCACAGCAGCCAAGAGGGGCTGGGAGTTATTTTTCTCTCCACACACTTTTTTTTTTTTTTTAATGATGTACATTCACTTATTTGAAATGCAGAGAAACAAACAGGTTATCTCATCCGCGGTTTCAGGCCCCCGAATAACGCCCAGGGAGCAGAACTGGGCCCGGCAGAAGCCACAGCAGGAACTCAGCCTGGTCTCCCGGGTGGGAGCCTCACCTGCTGCCTCCCAGGCGCACAGAACCAGGGCAGGGGTGGGACGCGAACCCAGGCACTCTGAGATGGGGTGCCGAGTCCCCGCGGCGTCTTAGCCGCCTGTCAAACGCCGGCCTTGCACACAGCCTCCGTGCACTGTCAGCTCCTGGCCTCTGCCCCATCTTGAGTTTCCCGTGTAGTTTTCTGACACCTCGCTCTTGAATGTCTCCCGTTCCCTAGCCCCGAGTGGGAGGCACGAGGTCTGTGGTTGCTCCCAGCACACCGTGCGCGGGTCCCCGAGTCCTCTGGCTCTTGAATGTCTCCCTGTTCCCTAGCCCCGAGTGGGAGGCATGGGGTCTGTGGTTGCTCCCAGCACACCGTGCGCGGGTCCCCGAGTCCTCTGGCTCTTGAATGTCTCCCCGTTCCCTAGCCCCGAGTGGGAGGCACGGGGTCTGGGGTTGCTCCCAGCACACCGTGCGCGGGTCCCCGAGTCCTCTGGCTCTTGAATGTTCCCTGTTCCCTAGTCCCGAATGGGAGGCACGGGGTCTGGGGTTGCTCCCAGCACACCGTGTGTGGGTCCCCGAGTCCTCTTGCTCTCGCTCAGGCCACAGGGCAGCACCACCTCCCACCTCCCAGGTGGCTCCATGCACCCCCCTCTGCTGGTCTCCACCGCCGCTGCAGCCTCCCCAGTCTCTCCCTCCATCCTTTTCTCGGGGAACAGCCCAGGGAACTGCCATCTCCTGTGTCCAGAGCACGGACGCCCCTCCCCCCATGTCTGGACAGTGGTCAGCAGTGTGCTGTCCAACCCGACCTCCGGGGGATGGGCCCAGTGTTCCGGCCACGAGGCTCCCACGACAGTGCCTGCCCCGGGACTGCCCTCTGCCAGCGACCACACAGCTGGAGCCGGCCCTGCAATGCTCCACGCCTGCTCCGCCTCATCCACCAGGCTTGCGGCCACCACGCCCATGGGGTGCCTCCTGTTCCGGCTCTCCCCTGCCTTGCTGACCACCTGTTCCCGGCAAGGCGCCTGGGGGGAGAACACGCGGGCAGAGTGACTACGCCGGGAGAGCTGAAGGGGCGGTGCAGTCGCCTCTAAGTCAGTTACTGCAATTAAAGAAAACGCTGTCATCCGGTACCTGCTACCCCAAAGGGCAGCTCTGAGCGCTCGGAGCTGGCTGGGCGCCGGCTCTGGGTGGCTCCCATGTCGCGGCAGAGCCGCCACCGCAGGAAGCGCCACTCCTCCGTCTGTGCCGACGGCAGAGCTCACACCTCAGCAATCAACAGGAATGTGCGTGGCTTACTTTTATTTTTTATTATAAAAAACACATACAAGAGTTTTAAGAAATGATGAATATAAGACAAATCAGAATCACGGTGAGTTATTAAACCCAGTTTCTATATACAAATACTAAAATTCCCAAAGTGGAACATCATCCAATGTGAGACACATCATACATAGCACTGTCCCTATGTACACGGCACGCGCCCCGCGCCCGCTGCTGGCACGAAGCCCTCCCTCCGGGAGCATGCGCCCCGGGCTCCGCTGCCTGACGGCTACATGTCCGGAGGGGCCTGGGAGACAGAAGGCAGCGCAGCAGAGGGCCCGCAGGACGCCGCGCTCTGCTCTGGCGGATACGACACCTCGGGAGACGTGGCTGCCACCCGTTTCCAGTGAGACAGCGGAAGACTCCTGGATGTTTCGTGAGCCGATTACCTTTGTCCTAGTTACTCATCTGCACACAAAGTCCAAAAATAGCTCAGGAACCAAATCATGTTTTACTGTTAAGTTCATTATAAAACAGCACTCAATTTAAAAAAGCCACTAAAAGGACACTTTCTGCAGCAAAAAAAGGGCGAAGTTCAAGTTTTCGTTTGACCAAGACACAACACAACCCATACATCACAGGATCACAACAGCCGTACAGGAAATGCATTTAGGGAGAAACGGGGCAACCGCTTGTGTCTCCTGTCTCCTGGCGAGCGGGCAGAGCGCCTCCTGCCGTGCTACCGATTCCGATTCCCGTCTTTGTTCTCTGCTCCTCGGTGTGCTTTCCGAGAGCGTGGACGTCTGCTCCGAGTCAAGGCACTTCTCACCGCAGCCACGCCGCGCTCAGCCGAGCCCCTCTGCGCTCAGGGAGCTGACCTCCTCCAGGTAGCTGGCGACCGCAGACGGGATGCTGCTGGAAGCCTCTCTCCGCCAGGCGTCCAGGATCTTGGCTATTTCCGCCGGATTGCTGGGACTCAGGTCACAAAGTGCGTAGACAGCTGCTAACTGTACACCCCACGGTATATCTGAAAAGAATTTTCACGTCGGTCAGCAGACAGGAAAATATTTACTTAAAGTTTTAATGTTATAATCTATCAAACACAATTCAAATACAGGGAAAATTAAATTTTAAAGAAAAATCCCGCAACAAAAAAGCCCACTTCAGGCTGGTGTGCGAAAGAAGAGGAGACAAGGCCTGCGGCGGCTCACTGCTGTTCCCGTGCCGGCTGTGGGCTGAGGACGTGGGTCTGAGGCTCAGGGAGGGCCCACCTGGCTCGGGACCCCACGCCCACACCGAGCTTTCCTGGGCAGTTCTTGAAGAAGCAAGCTCCCGAGACACAGGTTTTAGGAAGGGGCGGATCCCAAAGCATCTGTTAACCAGGTGACTCTACTGCTATCCTGTGGGGTTTATACACACACTGAAGAATGAAAAGGTCAGGAAAGGACAATCGCCTGTCCCCTCGCACACTCGCACAGCCGGGTCACAGGCCCAGGAGGACACAGCGGTGCACTGTGGAGGGACGGGGTGCACAGGTGAGGCCCTCAGCTGGAGCCGTTTCCGAACTACAGACTCCCGTTCTCGGAGCGGCAGCGGCTCAGCAGGGCACAGCAGCACCACTCCGAGCAGCCCTGGCTGGAATCTGGAATACTGTGTATGCACAGTGCGACGCGCAGGGACAAGACCCAAGTCTAAACAGGAGAGTCAGTCGTGATTCACGTCGCCGTATCCTATCTCAAGCTGAAGGTAAGGCTGCACCCTATTCACAGAACTTTCTGCATGACAGAGTGGTGTGCGCCGAGCCACCAGAGCTGTGGCGCTCGGAGTTCCGGGTTTTGAGCTAGGGATGCTCAGCTTGTATCTAAAGAAGTAAAAAAAAAGGAAGACAAAACCCAAGAAACCGCCCACCACCACCAAAACCCACACATCCAACAAACAGCAGCTTTACCCATGACTTCCCCTTTAACCGCAGACAGACAGCAGCACAGAGCAGGCCCCGCGTGCGGCGCCCCCGCACCCCTCCCTGCACACCCCGCCGTGCGGCTCTCAGCCTGCAGCGCGCGGCAGCTCTCCTCACGTCAAAAGCTGCCCCCTTCGGCTCAGCCTTGCAAGCCTCCCAGGGAAAGGCGAAGACAAGGAACCCATCACAGGAAGATCATCCGCAGTGCCACACAGCACTTAAGCTGTCACTTCGTGCATGTCTGATAAGAGCCTGTGTCACCACACATTCTCTGATTGTGTAAGTCAAAACAGAAGCCAGGTTCATTACTTCAAAGGGTTCTCTGAGTTAAGCTCTTCCACAGAAGAGCAAGACAAAAACTGCGTGCTCTGCAGCACGTGAGAACGGGGATCTGCCGCGAGGACCGGCACGCAGGTTTCCAGCTCTCCCCCTGAAGCTCCGGCTCGGGAACACCCAGGCCGCTTCACACGGGCAACCCCACTCGGTCCTCGCGCCACAACTCCACCCAGGGGCCCAGCTGTTTCTGAGACTGAATGTCTGCACCAGGGAGACAGGGGGGCACCCTCTGCCTTGGAGAAGCACCGGCCCACAGCGTGAACTGGGCCCCAAATACACAAGCAAGGACGCGACACTCACGCACACGCTCAGATGCTGTGGAAGACGCGGCTCACATCGCTGTCTACGAGGAGCAGGGGAAGCTCAGGGCGTGGCACAGTCAGGACTCAAAAGAAAAAGTTTAAGAAGCGAAATGCAAAGGATTTACAAGCAATTTTAATAAACTCAGTTTTACCTTCATCCTGAGCATGCTGTATGAACATCCCGATAACGGAACTAATATTTTTCACAGCAGATGGGAATCCTTCCTTCAAACCCAACTGGCCCAAACGCCCTAGGAGAAACAAAGCAGAACAAAATGAAAACAGCATTTGGTTCCATGTTAATTTTTTTCTTATAACATTATGTATCGTAAGCCTAAAAGTTCTGAACTTAAATTAAAATGGATGTAAGTGGAAACGGGTTAAATGGTAAGGCATCCAGACTTAGCAAAGCACCATTTGTACAAGAGGAGGCGTGGCCAGCGGCCCCTCCATCCCTGACTTCCTGAGAACTCACCACACCCACACAACACACGCTGTGCTGTTTCCCCAGTGAAGTCACATCATCATGAGTGGAACTGAGAAAGATTCCAGCAGGACAAATGGAATCTGCTCCACTAGGCTAACACTTCAGATCTGAGATGGTCGTGCTGCCAAATGCAGGGCTTGGGTCTAACGCCTGGGACAGCTGTGATGACAGCCAGGCAGTTGTCAAGCGCAGCCACAGCTTCCCTGGACAGCAACGCTGAGCTCTGTGCTCCTTCCCAACGCTCCCACGTGGACTGATGCACAAGCAACAGCACAGCAAGCCACCATACCCTGAGCAGGGGCCACGGCGTGGCACCTCTCTGGACAGGCCTCATTCCTCACTGCCAAGGCACGGGCAACCAAAGAAGGCAATTCCACCTAAGAAAGGCGACAGCAACCAGGGCGTCCCTCCTCTGGTTCATGCAGCTGCACCCTTCCTCTACTCCAAAGGACCCCTGTGGGTGCGAGCCTGCTCCTACGTGGGATCCCACTCCCTCCCTCAAAGCAGTCTTCAAGTCTGACGCGTTCCTTAAAGACGACGACATTCCAGAAGACACTCTAGATGTGCCTTCCTGACAATGCTACATTGTTCTCTGTGCTTCGGCTCTCTCTCGGCACCACGAACATGCTCCTGGATAAACGGGAATCTCGTTCATGAGCCGCGACTCGACGTCGAGCATGGAGAAACTGAGGGACTGAGTACCTAAGTAATTTCTTTTTTTTCTAAAGATTTACTTATTCAAAAGAGTTACACAAGGAGATACAGAGATAGCGATAGAGACAGGGGTGGGGTGGGTTGGGGAGGGGAGAAGGGAAGTGGTGGGGGGGAGAAAGAGAGACAGAGACAGAGAGAGGTATCTTCCATCCACTGGTTCACTCCCCAAATGGCCACAATGGCCAAGGCTGGATCACGCCAAAGTCAGTAGCCTTGGACCCCATCCAGGTCTCCCACACGGGTGCAGGGTCCTAAGCACTTGGGCCAGCCTGGCTGGTTCCCAGGCACATCAACAGGGAGCTGCAGAGGAGGCAGTGTAGCTGGGATCTGTACTGGGCTCTCGTGGGTGCCGGCAGGGCGTGCAGCAGGCCTTTAGTGGCCTTCACTACTGCCCCCCTTGGAGACCAGCCCGGTGCTCACACATCCTGAACGCTGTGAAACGCAGTAGGCATTAGTAAATGATTACTGATTGAAGAATGTATGGTAATTCCTGATCCACGGTGACTTTCTAAGTATCTGGATGACCCTCTGGCAGCCTTCTGATGAGAATGAAAAGGAATCAACTTCAGAGAGGAGAAACCTCAGGTCATGACCACTTGTAAGATCTGAAAAGGATAATGGACAGAGGATCTGACAAGGACGATGGACAGAGGATCTGACAAGGCTGATGGACAGAAGATCTGACAAGGCTGATGGACAGAAGATCTGACAAGGACGATGGACAGATGATCTGACAAGGCTGATGGACAGAAGATCTGACAAGGACGATGGACAGAGGATCTGACAAGGCTGATGGACAGAAGATCTGACAAGGACGATGGACAGAAGATCTGACAAGAACGATGGACAGAGGATCTGACAAGGCTGATGGACAGAAGATCTGACAAGGCTGATGGACAGAAGATCTGACAAGGACGATGGACAGAAGATCTGACAAGGCTGATGGACAGATGATCTGACAAGGACGATGGACAGAAGATCTGACAAGGCTGATGGACAGATGATCTGACAAGGACGATGGACAGATGATCTGACAAGGCTGATGGACAGAAGATCTGACAAGGACGATGGACAGATGATCTGACAAGGCTGATGGACAGAAGATCTGACAAGGACGATGGACAGATGATCTGACAAGGCTGATGGACAGAAGATCTGACAAGAACGATGGACAGATCTGTTAGATGGGAAGAAAAGTCCCACAGAAGGGAGGCGAGGGAGTCCAGGGCCATGCAGAGCCACGCTCAGCGTCCCAGATAACCTACACCCCAGCAATGCCTGCTGGGAAGGGAGCCTCAGCAGGACCGAGACCCTGGAGTTCTCATCCTAGCGTTGGGGCAGACTGGTCACGGCCAGGGTGAGCTGAGACGATTCCCAAGAAAAGCTGAAACACTTGATGAGAGAATGCACAGGACTGCCCAGTGCCGGCACCCACAGCCTGATCTACGGAAACTGTCAGGTAAGGTGACGATGCCCCAGCTCCTGGTCCCAGCTGACACCCGGTGGGCCACGTACTCAGGATTTCATGGCCCCTAGATCTGGTGGTGGGCAGTGTCTGGCCTGGCTGAGTTACCTCCCCACTGCATGGACTCACACAAGGCTTCAACTCTGCAAATGCACCACTCCTCCGTGTTTACGAATCTAGAGCAACTCAAGCATTGCACAGAATAGTTTTTAACGTATGTTGTTAGCATGGGTCACACACATGACCACTGCTAATAGCAATGTCCACACCTCAGTTCAGCACTCAATAACACTACACTGTCCGATGGCAACCTTGCTTCACTTCCCATGGAATAAAAATCTCATTAATTAGAACACTGCAAAATTTGGAATTAAAAATAAAGACAAATTGGGGGAATCAAAACGGCTGCACCCACCCTCAGCCAGAGAGGAAAGACCCGTGCTCTAGGGGGGAAAGTCTCAGGAAAGTGGGAACGGAGCTGCAGACGGCGCAGACCCGCAGAGCCAGCACACAGGGGCCGCGCACACTGCGCACACCGCGCACACCGCGCCTGGCGCTCCGGCTGTGGATACCTCTCGCAGGAGCATTCCAGAAAGTCCAAGAAGTGAGGCGGCTGCCTGAGGAAGCATCGGTGAGGGGGTGAGGAGACCCGCAAACCGCATGGAGAGACTGAAGGACGGGAGAGAGCGAGAGGCGCTCTCCCTCCCGTTCCCTGCCAGGGGACCCCTTGCTGGAAAGAGGGAAGCAGTGCTGGGACACCCGCCACTGCTGCAGACGCCCTCCCACGGGGGCTGCCACAGTCCTCACCGACTTCCAGTCCAGGCCAGAGGGCTGACAGGTCCGAGGGACAAGTCTGCTGCAGAAGAAGCCACATCGCCTCTCCCTGCTCCTAAAGTGCCAGAACCAAGCTGCGGCCGAGAAGCTGCCAAACTCCTTCTGTCCTAGGCAGCAGCCAGCGGCTCCACCACTGTCAGAAGCCCCCCGAGACAGCCAGGACGGAGAGCAGGCCCCTCTGAATCACGCTGTGCAGTTCTGTACAAGGCTCTGCAGCCACGCCTGCTTGTTCTGTGTGGATGCAGGGATGGCCGTTGGCTTCCTGAGGCTGGTTGGCAGCAACAGCCCGTACGCATGCCCAGAGGAGCTGGTCCGAGGAAGCCGCTGCTGTAGCTCTTAGCAAAAGGTACTGGGGGTCAGGGGCAGAGAACAAGCCCCAGCATCCCCTTGCGTGCCCAGCGGGCACTGAGGGAGCCCCCGTGCGCTGTAACTTTGAGACTGTGATACTGTGCTACAACCCCTGGAGTAGCTCGCTCTTACCCAGAGGATCTAGAAGGCCCTACCTGCATTCCTCTGCTTCAGGCCTGTGACTGCCAGTGACCGCTCCCCAGCAAAACCGGCGTCCACCCTGTGAGCCCAGGCACAGAGGCCCCTGCCTCCTGCGGCTCCAGGACTGTGACGACCAGTGCTGTACCCGCAGTCACCAGAACACAGCCCGCAGGTCTCCAGGGAAGAGCCACCCCACTTGCCACTCTAGACCCACACCACTCAGTGCACGGTCTGCAGCACAACCTGTGTTCCCTCATGGGCCTGGGATCGGGTCCCCTAAACATCTCCCAGTGCTGGGACTCGGGCTCCCAGTGCTGTAGGCCCCAGCGTTAGTCATGCCCACATAGCAAGACCTGGAACGTCCCACCCACATTAGAGTTTGAAGTCCACAGTTACTGGGGCCACAAGCCCCAGAATCCCTCACACTTGCCTGGCAGAACAAGGGGACAATCCCCTGGGTGTCCCAAAGCACCAGAAACATGGCTGGCGCCACCACTAATCCTAGGGTGACGGACACTCAATTCTCTGGGGACTGAAACGCACGCCCTTGGAAGTCATGTCCACCTCAAAGCCGTCTGACTGACTCCACAGACGGCACAGTCTGGACGGCCGCGGCTCTCAGACGCTGCTGACCTGATGAGCACCGAGGAAGCCTCAGAGGTCACATTCTGCTGACCTGATGAGCACTGAGGAAGTCTCAGAGGTCACATTCTGGGCTCAACTAGAACAAGGGCAGAGCAGCAGACCACGGTGCGCACACTCCACAGAGAGAACTGCTATGCCGGACTGCACCCTTCAGCGCGGGGACGCAGGGCACCTCAGCAAGGACACACAGTTCCCCAGAAACAGCTGCAAGCTGAAGGAGATACCTGAAAAGAACCCAACAGACAGGGATCCCCAAGAAACTCAGTGAGATGCAGGAGAACACAGATGGTTTAAAGAAGTAAGGATAGGCCGGCGCCGCGGCTCACTAGGCTAATCCTCCGCCTAGCGGCGCCGGCACACCGGGTTCTAGTCCCGGTCGGGGCGCCGGATTCTGTCCCGGTTGCCCCTCTTCCAGGCCAGCCCTCTGCTGTGGCCAGGGAGTGCAGTGGAGGATGGCCCAGGTGCTTGGGCCCTGCACCCCATGGGAGACCAGGAAAAGCACCTGGCTCCTGGCTCCTGCCATCGGATCAGCGCGGTGCGCCGGCCGCAGCGCGCCGGCCGCGGCGGCCATTGGAGGGTGAACCAACGGCAAAAAGGAAGACCTTTCTCTCTGTCTCTCTCTCTCTCACTGTCCACTCTGCCTGTCAAAAAATAAAAAAAAAAAAAAAAATAAAAAAAAAAAAAAAAAAAAAGAAGTAAGGATAGTAATAGATGGCACTAACGAGAAATTTGATAAAGAGACAGGAATCATTAAAAAGAAGCAAACAAATTCTGGAGCTGAAAACCCCAATGAGTGAAACCACACACACAATCAAGAGCTTCAAACACAGAACAGACCAACTAGAAGAAAAACTTTCTGATCTGGAGCATAAGACTTTTAAAGTAACCCAATCAGATAAAAATGTCTATACTAGCTAAAGCAATCTACAGATTAAATACAATCCTTATCAAAACACCAATGGCATTTTTGATAGAATTAGAAAAAAAATAATAAAATTCACATGAATCACAAAAGACCCAGAACAGCCAAAACCATCCTGAGCAAATAAATATAAAAATAAATTTAAAAAAAATCAAGCTGGAGGGATCACAATGCCTTCATAATATGATTTTAAAACACACAACAAAACTGTGGTAATTAAAACAGCACAGCACTGACATAAAAACTAACACATAAATCAAAAGAACAGACTAGAGAGCCCAGAAATTAGTTCAAACACATGCAGCCAACTGATTTTTGACAAAGGTGCCAAGAGCACACACTGGAGAAATGATAGTCTTTTTAATAGGTGGAGCTAGCAAAACTACAAGAATGGATTCAGATGCCTACCTCACATGATAAACAAAAAATCCACTGAAGACAGATCAAGGACCTTAATTAAGAGCGGAATCTATGAAACCGCTAAAAGAAAACATAGGAGACACTTCAAGAAATTGGTGCAGGGCATGACCTCTTGGACACAGTCCCAAAGCACAGGCAACATAAACAAAACTGATCCAGTCGGACTCTATCAAGTCAGAAGCTCCTGCAGAGCAAAGGAAACAATAAGTAGAGACGGCAACAGAACGAGAGGAAATACTTCTAAGCTACTTATCTGGCAAAGGTTAATATCCAGAATATATCAGGAACTGAAAAAACTCAACAAAACAACAAATCCTGTTAAGAAATGGGCAAAGGACCTGAACAGACAGCCCTCACAACAGGAAACACAAATGACCAACAAACATCCAAGCACCGGAAGTACAGAGAAAGGCCACTCACTCACAAAGACTCTCAAGGTAGGCCTCACTTTCCAGTCTTTAGTACAGATACTTTTGGTCTAGTGATTTTTCACGTATTTTTTTGTAACCAAATTGTTTTTTTAAAAGATTTATTTGAAAAACAGAGTTTCAGAGAGAGAGGGAGAGGGAGAGGGAGAGACAGACACCTTCCACCTGCTGATTCACTGGCAAATGGCACCACCATCAGGGCTGGTCTAGGCTGAGACAGTTTGGAACCCCATCTTTGTCTCCCACATGGGTGGCAGGGACCCAAGCATGTGGGCCATCCTCTAATGATGTTCCAGGCACACTGGCTGTGAGCTGGATCAGAGTGGAGCAGCCAGGACTTCAACTGGTACCCATATGGGATGCTGGCACTATTATATTTAGAAATGTAAAACATCTCTCCTAATTTTTTAGCTTCTCTAGATTTTATAATTGCGAATGCATTAATCAAAAGTCTGGACATTTCTTCTCAGTTCATGAGACGCTGGTACTGGAACTACAGCGTCCAGATACACAGAGAACACCGGAGAACACGAGACGGCGTCACCAACACTCCTGTGTGCTAATGCTGCACACCCCGGATGCAGACGGAAACCGTTCTGTGTTATCTGCCCCAGCAAGCACAGCTCATCACTCCCACTTATGTAGCTCTGTTCACCTCTCAACCTATCTTCTGAATCCCCACAGTCTTTAGCAATGATCACTTGGTTCTGTCTTGATGGGTAACTTAATTCCAAGTGTATTTTTGGTTATTTGCAACGAAATTGGGTGTCTACCTTGTAACCACGCTTTGGGCAGAACCTGAGCACAGCACAGCTATGTGCAGGTGAGGTGCACACCGGGCAGGAACGAGGATTTGCTGTTACAGTAACGAACTTGGCAGAGACACATTTCCTCTGATCTATTTATAAGACTAGCTTGTAAGTTTTCATCAACTCAAATCCGAAGATACTTAAAGGTCAGGATAACTATCTTCAGGTAGCTCAAGGGCCACAACCCAGCAATGAGATGAGCCTGGTGCTGGGTCCCCCAGAGGCAAAGAACACGCTGCAGACGGAGAAGTCAGCGCACACTCAGCACAGCCTGCCGTCCACCAGCAGAGCTTATCCCCGGTAATCCTGCACAGCCTGGACAGCAGCGTGGCAGATGTGGCAGAGCAAAAAAAAAAAAAAAAAGTAAAAATAAAGATCTGTAGGTGACAGGAAAGGCGTATGAGAGCAAATGGCCACTGCATCTTCCTTAGATGGGAGACTGAGCAGAATCCATAGCTCGTTTTTATTTTTTTATTTTATTTTTTATTTATTTTTTTTTTATTTTTTGACAGGCAGAATGGACAGTGAGAAAGAGAGACAGAGAGAAAGGTCTTCCTTTGCCGTTGGTTCACCCTCCAATGGCCACCGCGGCCGGCACGCTGCGGCCGGCGCACCGCACTGATCCGAAGGCAGGAGCCAGGTGCTTTTCCTGGTCTCCCATGGGGTGCAGGGCCCAAGCACTTGGGCCATCCTCCACTGCACTCCCGGGCCACAGCAGAGAGCTGGCCTGGAAGAGGGGCAACCGGGACAGAATCCAGCGCCCCAACCGGGACTAGAACCTGGTGTGCCGGCGCCGCTAGGTGGAGGATTAGCCTAGTGAGCCGTGGCGCCGGCCCCATAGCTCATTTTAAACAGTGATTTCTGAAATTCACTGAAGTGATCCTTACTGGGCAAGTCTGAAAAACTGTGGTCGGGGGTGTGAAGATAATCCTTATTTTGCAAAGTAAACGAGGCAACAGCCACTATGTCTCCTGGTATGCAAGTGGATTAATATTAGCATGCGGGAAACAAGAGTTCAGAACAACATGCACTAACATGAACAATTAATCTGTGACAAGGACAGGTAAAACACGAAGTCTGAAGGCAGATTTTAAAAAACCAACGACTTACCTATGAGCCGCAGGACTGATGCTATGATGACATCAGGAGTGTGTGCGATGTTCGCATGTCCTTTTCTGTGCTTGATCCACTTATCCATGACAGGCCACAGCTCCTTACTAGAAAACACATGAGAGGATGTGTGCTGGTCACTGACCTGAGGAACGGCCCCCAAGACGGGGGGAGGGGTAGCCGCTGAGACCCGACACTGAACGCTCCCATCTGCTCCAACCAACCATCTGCACTCTCCTGGCTTACAACAGCTACAAACACCCACACATGCTGTTTTCACTGCTTCTACAAGGATCTGCACAGCATTCCCACTGTCAGGGAACGAGGATGTGGTGGAGTCTGTGTTTCCGTGGACCCTCAGGAGCTGGGAAGCCCCGGTTACAGAAGCCCACAGTTGCCTGGGAGGGTCACAGACAGAGAGCTGTGTGTTTAGAAAGAGCTGAGGCAGAGGGCAACTGGAATTTCAAGAATCAAACCACACTTTAGGTAGAAGAATAGACACTTTCTCCTAGCTGAAAAGAGCCTCAATACCTTTTTGCTTTTTTGTTCTTTCTCTTTTACCAAAAACACATTTGCTTCTTACATGGCATTCATGATATATCACTAGAAAAGTTAAATGCAGACAAACAAAAAGGAAATCAAAAGCACTCCAAATAACCCAGCTTACACAATTACTACTCTTGGCATTTGGGCTTTCTTTCTGGATACTTCTCCATCTCTATGCATGTAAAACTGCATGGTAAGAGCCCCTACGTGCCAAGCGAGAAGGCAGGGTCTTCTGCAGTTGCTCAGGCCAAGGCCCTGACATTCAACCCTGTTGTCACCACCAGTGGGGTACTACGGACAAGGCCACACTGACAGGCACCAGCCCTGGTCTCCTCATCTGTCACTGGGGGAGGACACCTGCCCTGGACTCCTATGGAGCCAGTGAGACAAGGCCCTCACACCTCTACAGCAGGCGCTGGACAGACTTTCTGCCACTTTGCTATCTAGTGGCAAACTGCCACTTACCTTTCCACAGCAACACACAGAGGTGCGCTGACAGCCATGTGTCTTCACACTGCTGTGCCTCACTACACACATGGACGAAAACTGCTCGCCTCCCTACCGCCTGACTGGCAGGTGCCTCCTGCTGTCGGGGTGGGGGCGGAGCGTCCTGTGTACAGCTGGATCCCGCACACAGGAACTGCCACAGAACAGTCTTCAGTACCTCTGTGCCAGGGACCAGCAACTCTGTGGTGAATACTCTGTGATGTCAGAAAAGCCCTCAATTCAGCCTTTCTAAGTCTGGGTTCCACAAGAAAACGATTTGGAAGACAATCTTGCCCATTCTCCTAGAGTGGGACATAGCTAGGGCCAGAATTACAGATGCAGAAAGAGAAGTTAACGCCTTACATACAAGGATGCCTGAGAGTAGCAGGCTTACATCTTTCCCAGGTGACAGAGCTGTTAACCTGATAATTTTGAGGATTTCTCCTTCTTTCGTTTTTTTCAGAGTATCTGTATGTTAAAGTAACAGCTATGACATTTCATTCACCATACCTGTGGGGTGCCTCCCTGTGTGAGCACCAGTCTACATGATGGGGCTACACCACAGAACTCGTCTCCTTACCCTAAGACTCACTGCTACTGGGGAGAGATCATCCTAACAGAATACAATGCAAAGTAGGAAGAGGCACAACAGAAAAACAAATCAAGGGAATATAATAGGGATGCAGGTATTTTAAGAGTAGTTTTATAAAACAATCATCTATAAATATTTCAGATGCTTCACATACTTAAAAATGATTCAAATTGCAATTCAGCATTCAGTAAACTGTCTTAGAATGCAAACGATGCCTCTTTGTCTGAAGCTAGTGAAATGGCTACCTTATGATGTTATCATGCGTCCAAATCCACTTCTGGTGGCAGCAGAGCAGGTCAATGGCAAATATGTACTCCCAAGTGTGGTCATTTAAGTCCTCACCAAATTTCTCACTGGACTGAAATTCTGTTTTTGGACATAGCTGTATAGTCAAAAGTAGCTTTGAGACCATAAACCCCACATCTACAGGAGCATTCTAGAAAATAAAAAAAAAAATGGGAGTCTCAAATACAATACATCTAGTGTTGGTAAACTCAGAGTATAATAATCATCAGATAAACAATCATTTAATTAAAAAATTGGTATTTGAAGCAGCTGTATTTTGGATAAGGAACCAGGTGTATGTTAGTCCTAATACTTACCATAAAATGATCATGGAATGGAAGTTGAGAGACCAGGTAAACTAACTACAGGCAGGAACAGGATCCAATCAGGTAGAAAAAAGGTAGCTGCACCCAGCCAATAAAGAACTGAAGTATTAAAGCTAGCTGTAATAAAAAAGTTATTGGCTGGTGTTGGGGTACAGCAGGTTAAGCTGCCCCTCATGATGCCAGAATCCCATACTTGGAGTACCAGCTGCCATCCCGGGCTGTCTACTTCCAGCTCCCAACTGATGTGCCAGGGAAAGCAGGGGATAGCCCAAGTGCTTGGTCCCTGCCCACATGTGGGCAGTACAGATGGAGCTGCCAGTTCCTGGCTTCAGCCTGGCCTAACCCCAGCCAGGTACAGCCATCTGGGGAGTGAACCAGTAGATGGAATCTCTCTCTCTCTGTCACTCTGCTTTCAAATAAACAAAAACAACAAAAAAGCTGAAGCCATTAAAAATTCTTTTAATCCTATCATCTTTCTGACACTGGAAGACAGCTGGCTTTTCCTGAAAATTCATAAAACTGAATGAGACAGTACCGGACTGTTACGTCTGGCTTCTCTCGCACCTGTGTATAATGGAATGCATCCTTTCCACTCCATGTATCGCTAGCTTGAACATGCTTTTTCACTGCTGACCAGTTACCATTATATAGACACACCACTGTTTATCAAATCTCCTGTTGATAGCCATCTGGGTTACTGCTAACTATGGATGACCGTATGGACAGAATGGCAGCTGACATTATATACAGAAGACCCTTAAGAATGTTAGAAAATCTTTTCACAAAACTAGCAGGAAATACCACCCTAAAGAGGTCACCTGAGGGAAACACTTCCTGCCATGCTAGTAGTAAGAAATTCCTGATTTTAAAGACTAAAGCGCTAAATAATTTGCACTTGAGATAATATACACTACTTATTTTTTGTTAACTCGTGGTATTATATTTAATAAACATCCCTCTATTTTCAATTCTAGAAATAACGTCCTGGGGCTTAACTGTATAACTTTTCTGATTTTGAACCTTCTTTGTTCTATTGGGGAAAGCTGTGGTTACAAAGTAATATTCTTTGATATGTTAGTGAAATCTGTTATAACTTTTACTTTTAAGTGTCTCATTGAAACTTTTTCCATTCTTGTGCTATTACTTTTATTGAGTTTTATAATTTAACAAAGACAGGGGCTTTCTTTCTTTTTTTTAAGATTTTAAACTCTTCCACCTGCTTGTTCACTCCCCAGATGACTGCAACAGCTGCAGCTTCCTCTGGTCTCCCATGCGCGTGCAGGGCCCAAGCACTCAGGCCATCTTCCCCTGCTGTCCCAGGCCATAGCAGAGAGCTGGATTGGAAGAGGAGCAGCAGGGACACAACCCAGCACCCACATGGGATGCTGGTGCTGCAGGTGGAGACTTAGCCTACTACACAGCGGTGAACCCATGGCGGGGTGGGGGGAGGGGGCTGGGTTTTAATGTGTTCTTAAGATGAAATAGATTTCAGGGGCCAGCGCTGTGGCGTAGTGGGTAAGCCCGCAGCCTGCAGTGCTGGCATCCCATATGGGCGCCGGTGCAAGACCCACAGGCTCCACTTCCAATCCAGCCCTCTGCTATGGCCTGGGAAAGCAGCAGAAGATGGCCCAAGTGCTTGGGCTCCTGCACCCGCATGGGAGACCCAGAGGAAGCTCCTGGCTTCGGATCTGCACAGCTCTGGCCATTGTGGCCAACTGGGGACTGAACCAGCGGATGGAAGACCTCTCTCTCTCTCTCCTTCTCTGTGTAACTCTTTCAAATAAATAAATTAATTTACAAAAAAAAAGATTAAAAATACTTGGTTCTTGGGGCCGGCGCCATGGCTCACTTGGTTAATCCTCCGCCTGCAGTGCCGGCATCCCATATGGGCACCGAGTTCTAGGCCCGGTTGTTCCTCTTCCAGTCCAGCTCTCTGCTGTGGCCCGGGAGGGCAGTGGAGGATGGCCCTGCACCTGCATAGGAGACCAGGAAGAAGTACCTGGCTCCTGGCTTCAGATTGGCGCCGTGGCGGCCATTTGGGGAATGAACCAATGGAAGGAAGACCTTTCTCTCTGTCTCTCTCACTGTCTATAACTCTACCTGTCAAATAAAAAAAAAAAAAAAAAAAGTAGTTAAGAATCAGACAAAATGTAGCTGGAACTTATATTTGCCTTTTGTTATATAGTAAGCATCAACATCTTTTATGTTAATTACCAACTGGTCTGTTCAAGCATTCTACATGTAAAGCCAAAGTTGACCATTTTTATTTTGATAAGAAATCATCTTAGGCATCTAAAGCTGTTGCTCTAGGGTTCATTAATCCAGTAACTGTTGCTAAGTCTTCTAGTCAGAATCTTCCATATTCTGGCTTTTCTCCTTTTCTCATTAATCTGGACTCTGAGTTACCCATTTTTGTTGGTAAGACAGTGTTTTTTGTTTGTTCTCTCCTTGATGCTATGTATTACCTTTTAAAGATTTATTTTATTTATTTGGAACAGAGTTAGAGAAGTAGAGACAGCGAGAGAGGTCTTCCGTCCGCTGGTTCACTCCCCAGATGGCCACGATGGCCGGAGCTGCGCCGATCCAAAGCCTGGAGCTTCTTCTGGGTCTCCCACGTAAGTACAGGGGCCCAAGGACTTGGGCCATCTTCCACTGCTCTCCCAGGCCATAGCAGCCAGGACTAGAACTGGCGCCCATATGTGATGTCGGCACTTCAGGCCAGGGCATTAACCCGCTGTGCCACAGTGCTGGCCCCTATGTATTTCTTACTTTTTAAACTGAAATCTTTTTCTATATTCTTTTTTGTATTTTTAATTTTGAAAATGAGTATCAGCCAAATGTATTATTTGCTTAACAATAAGAAAAAGTGTTTTTAATAGTACAAGTTTTCCAAAAACTAAGGATATTTGGTATGAAGGGTTTTCCTTTTTGCTGAATTGTAAAAACGATTGTGACTTTAGTTTTCATATTTTACTTGTTCCCAGACTGCCCATGACTGTGCATCTCAAGTTCTAACTAAAAGTTTAAGATTTAAGATATTAGTGTCTAACTTTATTGAATTATCCCTACACAACTTAATCTTTACTTCCCAAAAATTGTGGTTTCCATGTGGCCAAATTCGTGATTCACCATATATATAAAAAATCCTATCTACATTCTATCTACATTCAGATTTGCTGTCTGTACTTAATTCTACTATGTCCTTACTTTTGTCTATCAGATCTGCTGAATTCTGAAAAAGAACAGTTGGAAGTCTTGTAGTGCAATGCTATTTTTTTCCTTAAATATTTCGCACTTTTCTTTGATTTTATTTTATATTTTTACTTGATATGACATTTAAAAAATTACTGAAACCAGCAGCTGCTTTGCAAGTACTGTGTTTTATCATCGAATTCCCAAAACAGGCAGAAGAAGGGCTCCAGCTGCAGGCAGGGGCAGGCGTGGCACAGGCAGGCAGGGCCCCCCGGAGGCAGCCAGCTCCCCTGCCGAGGAACTGACTCTGGCTTGTGCACACAGATGGCCCATTTCAAATCTGCCCTGAAATGCATGTGCACTACTCACTGTCCACTTGGTTCTCATTAAATAAAATAGAAAAGAACACCAATCTAAATATCACTTTAAAATATTAATGCTTAAAAAATAAAAAGGCAACATGAGAACAAAACATGTAGAACAAATACCAATTCCATCTACTAGAAAGAAAAATATAGATTAATAGATTCAGAAAAGATTTAATAGAAAAGAATTGAGATACCAATTTTTTCACTTCTCTAAGTACCTATTGCAGAATCAATTTATATCTCTTCCAAGTCCTTTAAGCATATGTATGGATTTCATCAGTCATAAATTAGCATAAAATCTAATTCCATGAAGAATATCTTTAAAATGCCTAGGAATGAATACAAAAACAGTAATATTTATGTAAGACCTACAAGAACATATGTCACAAGAGAAAAATAAAACTCACCTTTTCCCAATTGAGAAAAGCTCTCAAACAGTTCAGAACCTCTCCTTTCGCTCGCTGCCGGGCTACTAACTGCATTGCTTTATTAATCACTGATTGAGAGAGAAATATGTCATGCCACATGTTTGCAATAAACAAAGTCAGTTTCTCAGACTCTGGGAAATCTGTAAGAAAGAAAACAATAACCTTTTATGTCTGATCAAGCAAACAGAATATGAACCAAGAATAAACTCTGTGCATGACACTGTGCGTGCAAGGCTGGCCACAGCGGAGGGCACGCACTGTGCGAACCAGCCGAGGCTCTGGCCTCAGCTATTTCAAAATATGCTCCGCCTTTTTTCCTTCCTTTTCCCACTGGCAAATGCTCTTAAGTTTTTAACACAGGGCATGAAAACACAGCGGTGTATGAAAAAAGGAAATCTCCAGAGACAAAAGGCAAAATCCTTCCTCTAGGCTTCCTTAGTTCCAGAATTCTCCCATTTGATGTACGTCATTGCAGGTCATTTTAATGTGTTTACTCAGGTATGGATTAGTCAGGGAATTTTTTATTTGAAGAGTTATACTTTATAAAATCCGGATGACATGTTTTTTTGTAAACTCCTTCCCCTATAAAATGGCTTTTCTCTTTTTTAAAATTCATTTCATTGGGGCCGGTGCTGTGGCACAGCAGGTTAATGCCCTGGCCTGAAGCACCAGCATCCCATATGGGCGCCAGTTTGAGTCCCGGCTGCTCTACTTCCAATCCAGCTCTCTGCTGAGGCCTGGGAAAGCAGAAGGTGGCCCAAATCCTTGGGCCCCTGCACCCACATGGAAGATCCGGAAGAAACTCCTGGCTTCGGATCGGTGCAGCTCTAGTCGTTGTGGCGAATTGGGGAGTGAACCATTGGATGGAAGACTGACCCTCTCTACCTCCCTCTCTCCCTCCTTCTCTCTCCCCTCTCCCTCCCTCCTCTCTGTGTAACTCTTTCAAATAAATAAATAAATCTTTTAAAAAAAATAAAATTCACTTCGTCAAAGGGTAGTTTCTATTCTAAAACTGCTGGTTCAGGGAGGGCGTCGGGACAGCAGTACGGCAGTTAAGATGATGTGTGGGGTGCCTGCATCCCACACAGGAGTGCCTGGGCTCAAGTCCCAGATCCACTCCTGACGCCAGCTTCCCGATGCCACACACCCTGGGAAGCAGCAGGGACTGCTCACTATGGGGTTCCTATTCCTACCATGCACCTGAGCACCATGGACTGAGGTCCAGACTCCTGGCTTCAGCACAATCCAGCCCTAACTACTGAAGGCATCTGAGACATGAACCTGAAGTTGGGGGATAATTCTCCATCTGCTTTTCAAATAATACTAAGAATAAGTGAAATACACTCAAGGACGCAGATCAACTACTTTTGATAAATGAATAAATCAACATAGCCCCAACCCCTGCAATCAATACCTGTCACTCTTTGACTCTGCCCCTCCAGTGAGTAACGTTGCCCCTGGATACCGAAAACCTTTGACCTGCTTAACCTTACTACAGATTAGTCTGCCTTTTCTCAATTTCTATGAACAGATCAGCGTGGTTTGCAGTCTTTTCTGTCTGCCTTCACCTCTCAGCATAATGATTTTGAGATTTACCCATATTGCTATATGTGCCAGCAGTATGTACCTGTGGATGGCCAAGCAATGTTCCACTCTTTCCTACAGAACGAGATGTTTTTCATTTACCTGAGGACTGGCATTTGTTTCCAATTACGGGCTATTATGAATCAACATGTTATAAGTATCTGGGTACTAGTCAAGTAAGCATATCTGGTGTCAGTTCTTTCTGACATTCCCTCTGCCTAGAATTCTCTTGCCCACTTTTCAGCTGCATATTTTGTGTGCATTTTCACATCTAAGTTCAAAAGTCACTGTGACAAGGAAAGCTTCCCTGACCCTAGACTACTGCAGATCCACCTTCTAAATAAAGTACAGTTTATCCATTCAGCCCACAGTTAGTGACTGCGAGCAGCACACCATTCTGGGGTGTGGACAGAGGAGGAACAAGAAATTCCTGTCTATACCAAGTACACACTCTGGATGCTGCTTTGGGCTACCAGCCCCCACGGCATGGTCAAATCTAGAACCAATCACACCACACAACTCCCAGCACTTAGAGTTAAATGAACAATAAAGAGTGAATACAGAAATAAAGTGGGCAACTGAAGCACTGAGCAGACGCAGGAACCATACTGAAGATGATGGCACGCTGGATTATCCTGACTTAGAGACCCCTCCCTGCCCCACCCCAGCCACACACAAGGCAAAGGAATACCAATCTCTGCAGCTGAGCTGGGCTTCCACTAAGTGCTGCATACCATGACCTGGGACAGCAAAGGACTCCTCTGACTTCTCACTAGAGACAGACGACACAGCAGCAGACAGAGAAGCACAGGAGAAGCCCACTGTCTCTCCTTCTCTGACTCGCTGCTGCCCACGCACTCCGGCATCCACCTCACAGCTGCCCTCCGCAGGTAGAGGCACAGCAGTTTCCTTGTCAGTTGCTTCAAAAGTTTTTGCATATTTTCTATCTGCTTCTAAAGCAGCATCACAGGACTAGAACAGAAACGCAGTAACAACAGACATTCTATTTTTATGCAGAAGCAAAGAAATGTGCTCACTCAAGTTTAAGCAAATTCTACTGAAAATCAATATGAATAGAAGCTGAAGCTATTCATACCCTCTAGAAAATGCACAAAATTAACATTATTTTTAAAGCTACAGAGCAGTCATCTAGCTGAAAATGTAGATGTGAAGTATAATAATAAGGTAAAAAAGCAACAGGATGGTTCCAATATGCAAATGTCAGCATCTAAACATACCTTCCTTGAGGAGGCTGTAGCAAAACAGGCGTGCTCGCTCTAAGTCTCCAAGCTGCCGACAGATACCCACGTAGACCCTGCAAAGGGCGTGGATGTAACTGTGGTCCAGAGACGTCTTCTGAATTTTCAGTTCTGAGAGAATAGAGTGAAGCAAGCACTCTGCTAGATGCTGCATTGGAAGCACAAAGTGAAACGTCACTGCACGTTCTTGCTTATCTTTAGATCACCTAGGAAAAGCTAAAAGCAGCAAGGCTAAGTATCTATTGGGAGTATAAAACCCGCACTTTACAGAGGGCAGACCACGGCTAACCACTGGTAAGCCACAAGGGCGGGGGCGGGGTCCCCAGGCCTGCTTCGTGTGGTCTATCAGGCTTAAGTGTGAGCTCACATGGTTGCCCACTGTTACAGCCACCGAGAAAATACCACACAGTACCATGGTTTTGCCAAAACGACCTGGGACACGTGGAGGGCAGCATGCTGTGCCTTTGAGCATACCAGGATCAAGAGGAAATACGGCAATTTTAGCCTTGAAAGAGGAAATTTGCTTCAAACTTTAGGTTATTTGATGAACACAAGTTATTAAACCTCTAATACTTCCGTTTCAACTTTATAAAATGCCAGCTGGGAATAAATTATTTGTCTTAATGTTCACATACTTCTCAGTCTTTGTTGGCCTGGCTCATTAATCATTCAACACTTTGCGGGCAAGAGAGCCCTCATTCTAAGCACAGGCCATTCCTGACGTGCTCGGAGAAAGGCAGCCAACATACCTTTTTTGTTGTGCTGAATTCATAGACGACTTCCTTCTCTTGATCTCTCATCACTGGCTTTTTGGAGATATTGCCCACATACACATGGCTACGAATGACAGGCAACAGATCAAAGGACGACTCTGCAATTTTCTTCAGTGCATCGGCTATGGCTTTGTCATGGGACTCCACAGTTTCTTTGGGTTTTGAAGGCAACCGTGACTCTGTGTTGACAGCTCGAACAGAACTGCTCTCCTCCTCTGTGGCTCCAGCTTCAGCCTGAGGGAGGTTCCTCTGGAGGCTCCTGTGGACTCCTGCACTGGACTCCCTGCTCTCTGGTTCTGGGGAGCCGCTGCCCAGGCGCAGCCTCTTGGCACTCCTTGGTGTACATGTGGACAACGTCCTCTTCCCACCTGCATCCTGCTGCGCTCCCGAAGCCCTTGACTTCTCCTGGCGGGCGTCACCGGCAGAGCTACCTCCTGCCTTGACGAAAGCAGTTGATGCTGAAGTGATTGCCTTGAACCCTAGCAGAGCACTGACAGACCCCGGTAAGTTCTTGGAGTCTGCAGACGCACCTCGGGCGCGCTGAATGTTCCCCTTGAGGAGGTTCAGGGTGCGGGCCCTGGCAGACAACTCTGGATACATGGTGTCCAGGATCTTCACAGAATTCTCCTGAGGAGGCGCCCCCACGGCAGTGTGACTGGGCGCGCAGGCTGGGAGTCGGCCAGGCACAGGAAGCGCGTGCTTCGGGGTGGCTGCACAAAACTGCAGGGGCGAAGACACTACCCTCTCGCCAGCTGATGCGGCAGACGGAGACGGAGATGGAGACGGACCTGGGGGAGAGATGTGTCTGGGGTCTTCCAGCCATGGAGACAGCACGGGAGGCGCTGGGGTATCACATAAGGGAGAAATCTGGCCGACGGGAGAGGCTGGTGAGGAAGGGCTAGAACTGGAAATGAGAGGAGAAAGCGGCTGTGAAGTCCTTGGAGGTGTAGCTACCAGAGGAGCCAGCAGAGGCGGCAGAGGGGGCCCCACCTCTTGCCGTATCTTACTCAGAGTGTCAGGAGAGCACTCCGTGGGAGTAGAGGTGTCGGCATTGGCTAGAACAGGCTGAGTCTGGTTTCTTGGGGTTTTGACGTTACTTCTTTCACCTGAACAGGACTGAGAAACTTCACTTGGATGAGTTTCCACTTTGTTTGATGCTAAAGTCTTGGCTGGCTTGTTCGATGGCTCTTTGTTTGCAATCTTGGATCGATTCTTGTTTTTGCCACATGGCTCCAGTTTGGAGTTGTAATACGTGTGATCAGACGCAGCAACCTGAGTCTCAAAGGTCTGATCGTATATTTGAGAACTAATCCATATGCTAGGCTTAACAGGTCTATTCCGCAAACGACTTTTATCAAAGTTGGCGCTTTGACCACTGCTTGAAACATCCTCACAGGGAAGGGTGCTGCCACACAGGGGCTCCCGACACGCAGGGCCAGCGGCATCCGTGTCTGGGGACTTCTCCACAGAAGCCTCCGAAATGGACTCAGCTTCCAGCTCCCCCGGGTCCCGAGGAGCAGGGTCCTCAGGAGTCGCACACACTATCACCTGGTCCACATCGGGCCTGACGGACACACCACTGATGATGGTCCAGTTGTCCCCCTTTTCAATGACCAGGTTCTGATCCTTATTTATAAGGACGTTAATGACTTCCGAGGTCACTGTCGATATCTGACACTGGAAGGTCGTCTCGGCCTCCCTCGAGCTCTGCTCCGTCGTGGGCTCTGCTGCAGAGGCAGGGCACAGGGCTGCCTCGCCGCCATCTGCCTGCCTGGCCTCCTCAGGCCTGCTCTGGATGCGCTCGCGAGACCCATCCGGAACAGGGGAGCTGCTTCTGGCACCCACACTGGCGAGCAGCGGGAGCAGTTCTGGGGCATGAGAGGAAGAGCTAGCCACTTCCTGAGAGGGGACTTTTCCTTCTAATTTCTCAGTGGTCAGGCTGCTATTTATATTTAAGAACAGATTCCCAGAGTGATCCTGACAGCCCTCATAATTGATCTGCAGTTCCTGCCCAATCTTGGTGAGGACGTCAGACAGGGTCTCCAGAGAACACGGCGCCAGCTGACTTGCATTTTTTAAGGACTCGCCCTCATCCTCTGATTCGACCCACTCTTCAGAGGCACCAAGTGCTGCTTCCTCACAGGGTCCCTCTCTCGCCTCTCCTCCTGACAGTGCACTTTGCTTTAATTCCTTGTTCACTTCTTTATGCAGGGTTCCTTTGCTAGAACATTCTGAGACGGAGTCCCCCGAATTATAATCCTTCAGTTGACAACTTTCAAGAAACAGCACGACCTCAGATGTAGAGAGTCTGTCTATGTCAGGAAAAGCACTTATGTTACAATCCTGAAGAGCTGAGGTCAAACGGCCCACTTCCACGGAAGGTCCCGCCTCGGCCGCGCCAGGCTCTGCAGCTCCTGCGCCTCTCTGAGAGGCGTCTGGAGCATCCTGCTGGGTGCTCCCCACCACGGCCTCAGGGTCCTGCTCACCCTCACTGCAGCTGAAGGCCTCACTCTCCTCTACCTCGGTGTCATCCTCTCCTCCCTCCCGAATGCCTGTGTAACTATACAAAGTACCAGGGAAGCTACTCGGGGCCGCGTCCGGGGCTTCCTCGTCTTTTCTAGAAAATGCTGAAGAAGCGGCACTGCCTGCGGTGACGAGGCACTCAGGGAGGGCACCACGAGCTTTCGATGGCGACTTCAGAAGACCACGAGCGTTCGGCGGTGTGCCAGGAGAATCCTTTGCCACAGCCAGGGCCTCGCTTCCGGACCTTGCTGCCTCTCCACAGAGTGTTTCTTCATCAGGAAAGCCTCCAGGTGCTGCTGATGCGGAGGCCGGAGGCAACCCGCTGCCTTCCACCCCGCTGGAGTCCGGATCCGTGGTCTGTGGAAATGGCCTGTTATTCTGCACCTCTCCCTGCGCTGCGGCCTCCCTCACCACGTCTTGGGTTCGGACAGGGATGTTCTCAGAAGAGAAAGATAATGTCCTATTTGTGGAACAACCCACGCTTTCTACTGGTAAAGAACCACCTGGAGAATCGCAATCTGATTTCCTCCAAGAGGTGGAGACCTCTGGTGAAGTGCTTCTCACGGACGCCTCCTGGATGCTCAGCGCTATGCCGGCTCCTTCTGCAGCGCACTTGGCTACAGGTGCAGCGCGGTCAGCTTCACGATCACTGCGCTCGGCTCCGAGAGCAGGCTCACTCCTGTGCAGTCTCAAGGGCTCCAATTTAGCGCCCTGACCCTTTTCAGGCCTTGACTGCTTCATGATAACAGACACTTGATTAGGCAACAGAGATGCGGTAGGTTTGAATTCTACAGGATTAGTGTTTTCCCCAGGAAGTTCAAGATTGGATGTTGCTCCTCTATTTTGCATGGATGGGATCCCCTTTTGTAGCTGATGGTCAGTCTTTTGTTCATGTTCTAGTTTAGCTTTCAGAATTTCTTCACCACGTCTTCTTAATAAATCACTGTGGTGCCAGGAAGTGCTTTTAACAAAACCAGAGGCACTCTTGACTGAGTCAGCTCGAGAATCTATTACTGATGTGAAACCTGACTTTGGAAGCATGAGTTCAATTCTTGGATCCTGACTTTCACATTGTCCATCCTTTGTTGCTTTCATAAACACTGAATGAGGAAATGAACAGACGTTGGTCATGCTGTTTATAATTTTCGTACACTCTCTCGCACTATTTTTCGGGTCATTAACATCAGATGCTCCCCACGCAGGGCTCAGAGCGCGCGAGCCCCTTCCCAGGTCACGGCCCCCTCCAGGCCGTTCTGCCTGCTCAGACTGCAGGTGCAGTGTGTTCAAGGTTTCTGGTTGCAGTTTCTGCTCTGAAGGACCCAGTTTGGCAGGGAGCACTTTCGTGGGAGTATCTGTGTCACTAACGAGCTGGAACGGACAAGACTGAGGGTTTCTGCTAACAGACAGCACTACTGAGGTAGAAGAGGAAGAAAAATGGGCTCCAGCATCAGGCCTCGACGCATCTACTGTATAACCTGCGTGGCTGTCCTCAGGTTCTGAGGACTCCCCCATAATGGACCCGTGCACACTGTTCCTGGCCTTCGCTGCTTCTCCAGACAGTCCCTGAAAATGGTCAGACAGGGCTACAGAGTCTGACTGAGGAGCTACGTCTTCAGGTGCGGCCCACTTAGTAAACTCCGACTTGGGGGAGCCTATCCCTTTGGACAACAGGGTTTTCTGTTCCGTCTCAGTGAGCTCCTTCAGTGGCCTCTTGCCAAGGGGAGAAGAACATGGGGCGGACTTCCCAGGGGCAGCTTGCTTTTCTCGCTCTGGGTTGCTGGACAGCTTTTCAACCCACACAGTCCTGGTGGGCTTGGGAAGGGGCTCCTCAGTCTGAACAGACCTCTCCAGCTCCCTGACCTCCATCTGTGTTTCTGCCCCATCTGAAATGTCTCTCTCTCTACCCGCCGTGAAGTCAGATGACGGGGTCCAGCGTTCACAGGGCACGGCCGAAGGCTCTCTCGGTGCTGCTGCTGGAGTCTCAGGTCCAGCAGCTGTCACTCTGCAGACCTCCTGGGATTTGGGCTTTTCCTCCCATGTGCCACTTCCTGTACTCTTCCTGGATAAGCCAAAATAATCTCGGGGTTCAGCTGTGTCATCTTCTGAAACAGACTCAGCAGAAGTTCGAGGCTGGGCTGTGTCATTGTCACTGGAATCTGTATACTCTCCAAAGTAGGTTTCCTGAAAGGGTAAAAATTAGCCATGAGCACTCATTCACCAGACCAATTAAGGCAACCAATCCAAGGCACACAGAGGACATGATTCCCGAGGAACCCCTGAACTCACATCTGAGAAGGGAGTCGTTACTGAGGAGGGGTCTACACCTGCACTCCAAATGCACTTCCCCATTTTCTGGTGCAGAGGCTCACAGCCTCTGGCTCCACAGCCCACGAGGCTCCTCTCCTTTCCAAATGTCACACACGCTGGGGGCAGCCCTACCACATGCCAGGCATCACCATGGCTCTGGGAATCTGTGAGGATCTCCTGCCAACAGCTCTTCCCAACACTTCCTCAGACTGAATGCTGTACCATCTTTTTTTTTTTTTTTTTTTTGTATATTTTATTTGAAAGCGGGTGTTAGAGAATGAGAGGCAGAGACTAGTTTCCTCCCCAGATGTCCACAACTGGTGATGGGCCAGGCCGCAGCCAGGACCAGGAGCCAGGAGCTTCTTCTAGGTCTTCCACATGAGTGCAGGGGCCCAAGGGCTTGGGTCATCCTCTGAGGAGCTGGAGAGGAAGCAGAGCAGCCAGGATTCGAACCAGCATCCACAGAGGATGCTGGCACTGCTGGCCATGGCTTTAACCCGCTGGACCGCAGGCGCTGGCCCAGGCTGTGGTCTCCGGGCAGTGAGGACCCACCTCTACTCTAGAAGCCTCTGTGACACCAGCTACGCCGTCGGTCTGTGCTGACTCTAGCCCCGGGCCTCCTTTCTGGTGAAGACTCAGAGCCAGCTCCCACTGAGAAGGCCCTCTCCTCTCCTGAACCCACGCTGCCCCAGCCCCTGGCCTTCCTCTGCCTTCAGTCTCCTGCTCCCTCCCACCACCTCTGCTTGTCACTTGCACACTGACTGCTCCCCAGGATTCTGAGTGGGATCCCACTCCTTCCCCTCCACACACGCCGGCTGGATGCCATCTGCTGTACTCAAGCACCTGTGTTCCACCATTCCCCCTCCAGCACCAGGCCTGTGTCTAGAACGTGTGTGGCATCGGCTCTCTTGGACATCCTCACATCCCTGGTGTCTAACACGTCATATCACTTCCCGGGAAGCAGGATCCCTTCTTGTGTATTTGTTAATACCCATTACCCCTCCACCCCCTTAATCACCACCCTGGAAGTTATCAACTGCTGCTTACCTGACCTAACATTTTTCAAACCAGTCTCTACTTCCTGAATCTCAGTGCCACAACCTGGGTAAACAGCTTATAAAACCACAGCGCTGTCTGCAGTCTTGCCTGCTTCCTGACCGTCCCTCATTTGCTATTCAGTCTTACAGTGACTACACTAAAACTTTCAAGTGAAGACCGATCATTAAGCTTGCATTTCTGGACTGTCCATCCCCTACAAGATGAAATGCACTTTTCTTAGGAGGACATACACAGTGCTTCCTGTTGTGCCCTGCTGGAATGTTCCCCAACACTGTGTTGCCCCGTGGTATGAGGAAATCTTCCACCTGAAACAGCCTCTCTAACTCTAAAATCCAGTGTGGGGATCCTATCTTCTGGCAGCTTCTTGCAGCCTCCACCCGGGGCCTCTGCCAGGATGGAGCTGTTTCCGTCTGTGAGTGCAGTGTGTTTCCCAGTACGGCAGTACACTATCACAGCAGTGCAACTAGATGTTTTCGTGCTGGCCCCATTCCACAAGACACCCAGTACGGTGCTGACCAAATCCTTGGTCATCTCTGCACTCCCAGCGCCTACCCAGTATTTGAAACACAACACACGAGCAGTGTCTCCCAGAAGGAAGTGACTCCTTAAGCCAAGAGATATGTAAATCTGCTTCAACAATACTATCTTCCTAAGAAAACACCATAAACCACCCCATGAGCCCATGAAAAGATTAATTCCCAAGTGCAGACCTTGGCTCTGCAAAGCGAATGGACATGCGTGATAGTCACTTGGGTTTTCCTAGCACTGTACAACTGCACTGTAAGCCCATATTCGTCAGGTACTAGAGAAGAACACAAAGTGCATTATTCCCATTGGATACTTATAATCTGGCTTGGTTAGAGACAAACAAAAATCAAACCATAGTACCAGGTAAAGAAGGCCTATAACAAAAGTGTATGCTGACCCAGTGGGTCCTGGCACACCTTTTACAGTCTCGTGGTACCCACTAATAAAACTGGCTACAACAAGTTGTTTTTATCGAAGTGCTACTAGTGTCCTCTGAGTATCACTGCCAGGTCAGGCTCAGCCATGGAAGCAGAACTCACCGGTGCAAGTGGAGACGTTAAGGAGCCCAGGGGCGGTGACGACATCAGAGGGGGCGAGGGCACCGGAGACAGAAGAGGAGGGGGAAGTTTAAAGAAGTCAATTGCAGCTTGAAGGTCTTCATCAAGCCAATGCTCCTGGTCAGACCCGGCAGTGCCACCACCGTCGGCCGCACTCTGCACTGAAACCTCGGGGTTTCTGTCCTTGTGGAAAGCATGGTCAGCGCTATCGTCAGCTCCACTGGGCCTCTCTGTTTCCACATTTTCATGGGAAGAAAAGTCCCCCTCCAGCTCCATGGACAAATCTGCGAGGCATGCCTGTCCGTCTGGGGTCCTGAGAGGACCACTTTGTGCTGGAGGTAGAGCACCGCCTTCCCCAGACGCCTTGCACCTGGTGCTGTCTCCGGCAGGCTGTTCTATAGAGGGGAGAAGGCAGGCAGCTATCAGACACTGACAGTATCAGGAAGACTAATGCTTGCAATGTTAAGTTCAGTAAGCAGAAACATTTTAAAAATGAAAATCAATTTCAAAACATTACCTCGAACATCTGACTACATTTCACACATGTAAGCTACCCTTAGGAGGAAAGTGAGCGATACAGGAAGAAGGGAGACGGCTGGAGGAGACAGCCCTGCAGCACGTGGGCCGACGACGTGCAGCTGGGAAGCTTCCGCAGCAGTGCTGAGGGGTCTTGCTAATCATCATTCTCTGGTGGAGCTTTCCAGACAACCAGCAGGATCTGGCAGAGAAATGACTGCATAACGGCTGGCACTACTTTTCTGTCTGAAAAGCTTCCCATGCCAATGCAACAGCAAAGTCACCATGAAAAGCCAACATGTTAGGGTCCTGATTTTGGTGAACTTCAGTATTACTGAGTTATAAAGCACAGAATAAAATAATTATCTGTAAGACTATTCTCATACAAATGAATGAATGAATGAATGAATGAATGAATGAATAAACAGTGGAGGAGAGACAGCTCCTCCTTCCAGAAGAATGTCAATTCATAAATGCAACACTGGGCCGGCGCCGTGGCTCAATAGGCTAATCCTCCACCTTGCGGCGCCGGCACACCGGGTTCTAGTCCCGGTCGGGGCACCGGATTCTGTCCCGGTTGCCCCTCTTCCAGGCCAGCTCTCTGCTATGGCCAGGGAGTGCAGTGGAGGATGGCCCAGGTGCTTGGGCCCTGCACCCCATGGGAGACCAGGAAAAGCACCTGGATCCTGGCTCCTGCCATCGGATCAGCGCGGTGCGCCGGCTGCAGCGGCGGCCATTGGAGGGTGAACCAACGGCAAAAGGAAGACCTTTCTCTCTCTGTCTCTCTCTCTCACTGTCCACTCTGCCTGTCAAAAAAAAAAAAAAAAAATAATAATAATAAATGCAACACTGGGGTGAGCATTGTGGCACAGCAGGTGAAGCCACCCGCTTCAGCCCACATGGGTGCCGGTTCAAGTCCTGGCTGCTCCACTTCCAATCCAGCTCTGCTATGGCCTGGGAAATCAGGAGAAGATGGCCTGGGTCCTTGGGCCTCTGCACCCACGTGGGAGACCTGGAAGAAGCTCCTGGCTTCGGATCGGCCCAGCTCCGACAGCTGCGGCCGTCCGGGGAGTGAACCAGTAGATGGAAGACTGATCTCTCTCTCTCTCTCTCTCTCTCTCTCTCTCTCTCTGCCTCTCTATAACTCTGTCTTTCAAATAAATAAATAAACCTTAAAAAGAAAAAGCAAACACAAATTTAGAGAAATACAAAATTCATTATCAGGCAAATATCAACGCAGTAATTACAGCAGGACGATCCGCTGCTGGCTGCTAACATGTCTGGGTGGCAGTTTCAGAGGAACAAATTACTGGCATCATGTGTAAGTATCTTTCTCAACTAATTAGGGAAAAGTACCTTTCCTCCACAGAGGAACCTGTAGACAGCACTCTGTGCAAGGGAGCCAGGTGACCATCCCTGGGGACAGGACATTTCCAGATCACCTATCCCAGGCCCAGGGAAACACCACTGCTGTGGTGCCATCAGTCACTGCCTCAGACTAACACAGAAGACATCAGAGTCGCCAAAACAACAGACTCCACACCACATAATTCTACAAAGAAACACTCTCCCTAGGAGGCAAAGACACGGGAACATGGGAAGATGAGGAACTTTGAGACAGGGGCAGACGAAAGGAAGATGACTCCTAAGGCAAGTGGGGTCCAAACTGGACCCTAGAAGTGGAAGAGGCAGCAGCAAGGAACGGAGGGCTAGCTCACAGGACTGTACCAACAGTTCTGGCGTTCAGCATGGGAAATGGAGAATGCTAAACTCAGGGAATTCTAGGTGAGGGTCTGAGGACCTCTCTGTACCATGTCTGTAAGGGTCCCGTCTCATAACAAGATTCCTAAGTTGCAATATCTTCTGTTCTACCTTGGAAAAGCTGATGTAAGTAATGGCCTTACCCTTCATAATTGTATTTTTAATAAAATACAATTCGACTATTAGATCATCTTCTTAGTACTACTTTCACAACACAAAATCAAAACTTGAAATAAGAGGACTGACTGACAGAGAAGGCTGCCTCTGCCAGAACAGGCGAGTGGTGAACGCTCAACTGTGGGGATTCATTTAGGCGCTCCAGGCACCAGCTGGCGACTGTCAGCCCCATTCTTCAGGTGGCCAGAGGGACAACCCACCCAGATCTGCAATGCGACACATGCCGGGTCAAGCATAAATAACATGCAGGTATATTTATTGTTTTTATTTTATTTTTTTATTTTTGACAGGCAGAGTGGACAGTGAGAGAGAGAGAGACAGAGAAAGGTCTTCCTTTGCCGTTGGTTCACTCCCCAATGGGTGCTGTGGCCAGCACACGGATCCGAAGCCAGGAGCCAGGTGCTTCTCCTGGTCTTCCATGCGGGTGCAGGGCCCAAGCACTTGGGCCATCCTCCACTGCACTCACGGGCCACAGCAGAGAGCTGGACTGGAAGAGGAGCAACCAGGACAGAATCCGGCTCCCCAACCGGGACTAAAACCCGGTGTGCCAGTGCTGCAGGTGGAGGATTAGCCTAGTGAGCCGCGGCGCCGGCCCATGCATGTATATCTATTATCTCTCAGGGACTCCATCCTCAGAAGCCGGAGAGGAAGTCACAGGCACCCATTTCTACAGATTTTGATGCTCAATATTCTACACATTCAAAGGAGAAAATTAATAATATGCCAAAAAGATCAATAAGCACTTTGATCTTATGCAAGGCAGTGGTCTTCTTCCCTTCTACTCAAGGTAGCTAATCTATTTCCAAATCTTTAGCCCTTGAGGGACCGTAACTGTGAACATGGTAGAAAGCCTTCATGACATTCATCACAAGTCACCATGTTTAACCAAAGGAACTAGCAAATTACATGATAAATATAGGAGGGGAAACTGCTGACGGGCGAGCAAAGGCGCGAAAAGGTTTAGCACTGCGTCCTGCAGTGTTCTGCTAGGCCTATCTGCCTCCTCCATCTGTCCTTCCAGTCCCTTTGAACACCCTGATGAAAGCTGCTGTTACAAAATCAGAACTTAAACAAACGCATTCACTGAGATGCAAAGCCACAAGGGGGAAAGAGTGAGGGATGGCTCAAAGTACCCATTCTAGTTGATCTCATTTTTTTCATGTTAAGGTTAAGAAAACATTGAAAACTAAAGGCTGCGATGCCATGGAAAACATTTCTATTTCATGGCAGACATGGACACCTGTAAGCCTTTCCTCACCTAGGACCCATCTGCTGCCTTCGCCTGGGAGTCTGTGCGCTGTATCACCTAGGACCCATCTGCCGCCTTCGCCTGGGAGTCTGTGTGCTGTATTGACACAGAGCCAGAGTTCCTTCAGGAGCAGTTTCACTTTCCCTGTGAAAAAGAGGAAAACAGTAAAGTCACGTCATTCGGCTCAACCCACACAAGGCCAGAGCATATCCTGTGAAGTCACGACTCACTGGGGACTTGACTCCGCCACCGTGCACAAGTCAGTCACCGACAGAAAGCTCTGCCATGCTTCCGGGGGACTGAAGGCGGACCACAGATCTGCTTGCTATTTTAATGTGGGAGCCGAGCAAGGACCTACTTGCTGTGAAAGGCTTTCACCACTTTCACAACGGGGACAAATCCATCTTTAGCCCACACTGTTTCTCCACAGAATGCTAAAAGATGGAGAAGGAAGTATTGTTAACGACTTACAATACAAGGCATTTGGTGCTGTATTTGTATGTTTTACAAGGAATGGCAGAAAAGCATCCTTAAGTTGTATGAAGTAATGAGAAAAGTCATTAGACTTGACCATGCTAGAATTAACCTGGGAGGGTTGGTGGACTGTAGCAAATCCATCAGAGAAGTTGAGGGGAGATGGGTGGGAGGCCAATGTGTGTATACACATACATGGTCAGGCACAGATGCAAATACCTAAGGACAGAAACAAGCACAGAGTTTCACAAGGAAAACAAAACTTCTGGAAAAGTGGAGTCCCAGGGGCCTGGGTACCGGCAATGGCTAAGAACACACTCAGACTTAAGGCTCCAGGCAAGCTGTAACCACGAATGCCCTGGAGAATCCATATTATGTCACACTGTTACAGCTTTTTTAAAAAATAAACATTGTGAAGTGAATTCTAAAAATACCTTCCAAAGCAAAAGCACTCATGAAAGTATCAGCAGCTTGTCGTGAACCGTGCATAGAACCCACTCTAAATCACAGTCAACCAAGAGTAGCTTCAAGTGTTAGGTAACTTCAGGCCACCTCCAAGTTCTACTATGGTTTCCTTCAACTCCAGTGTTCAGATTAACCTTAAGCATTTAATGAAATTAGTGAAATCCTTAATCCAGTTCAAGGAAACATGAAAAGACTAACCTTGCAAATCAAAACAGGTTAGTCCTACATAAGCTGGAAAACTGCATCGCTCCAAAAAATGAAGGCCACAGAAAGGGGCCGGAAGAAAGCAGGGACAGTCACGGGTGTTGGAAAAGCTGGCCATTTCCAAGCCCGCCTGACGCAGTCAACAGTCTCACGTCGCTGGGAGTGAGGCACACCCATTTTTCAGTTTCAGAATTCTGAGATCAAGCAGCTTATCCACACTGCGATTTAACCTGCCCAAAAGCCCGCTTCCAAACAGTGGAATCCCCTTTGCTTAAATGCCTGACCAGGGTCCCTGCTTATTATGTATACCCAAAGCAGCAAGGAACCTTACAAAAAAAGAACGAACGTTACTTTTCCATTCCTACAGAGGCTATTAACCAGAGTCTACACTTATCCCAAATGAGCACTCATCACATCACTTCTGACCAAAAAAAAACCTACACATTCCCAACAAAGCAGGGGAAAAAATCGCCTGTGCGGTTCATTACTTAGTTGTGAAGACAAAAACCTCATGAAAACTGAATCACACACCTTTTTCTGATCCTTCAAAATGCTATCAATTCTAAAGCATTTAGAGAATCTCTGGACTTCACTGCTCTGTCCATTTCTGAACCTATATACACTCCCTACAGTATTCCAAACACTTGTTCTTTCTTTCTGATAAAGTTTCACAACTGCTTGTCCCTCTCCACAGAGAAGCTCACTGGGTTTTGAGTCCGTACGTGTGGGGACACTGGGGAAAGGTTCACACGCACACAATGCTTGCTTCTGTGTTCAGCTCTCCTGTAATGCTCTTCAGGAACGTCGCATAGCTTTCCTCACTGAGGTCCTCATAAGGCTTCTAGGTCTCTCCTGAGACACAGTCGGCCTTGGAGGATGAGTGTCCTCTGCCCCTTCTCTGACAGTCAGCAGTGACACATCGCACACCACCGCTTCACCAAGTGCCCTTCACTGCCACTTCTGTCTGCGGCTCCGCCTAGCACTTTCTACACGGTCGTATCAGCTGCACCACAGACAATTCTACGGCTCCCTAGGAGTGCGCACAGTGCTCGCTCTGCCACGTCTGTTTGCTGCACTGATTAGGGCTCCAGTATTGCAAGCAGGCTGGCCTTGTTTCCCATAGTTATGACTATGCTTTTAAAGGGCCACCATTCTCAGATCAAAAAACAATTTTGTTTTTTTTTTTCTATTACCTCATCAAATATACATATATCTTTCAATTAGAAATGGGTGAATGACATAATTAGAACCAGGTGTTCTATTTCTGAGATACATCTTCATGTCATAAATGGTCTAAATTACCTAATTACTCATGGATTTTATTTCTTAAAATTGTATTTAGTGTTTTCAAAGCTATATTATCAAATGACAGAGTTGGCTCATGAGTATGTGTGTGGATATTATTCTAATCTGCTTTGGGTACGGTGTGTTCTACCCTATGAGAATGAGATGGACAGAGTCCATAATGTTATAAGTAATTCAATAAATAAGTTAATAAAGACAACATGTTTTCATTGACAGCTTCACAGACCACACCCATAAAACCACCTGGATCTATCATGGCATTAGATTTTTATTTTTAACCTCTTTTTCCAGTTTATTTTTTGGTCAGGTGTGCAACAACTATTCTGAGTCAAACTGCACATGTTTTCCTAGAAAACAATACATTTCACCTACATTTCGCATATAAATGTGAAACTGTGAATGAAGGACTTCCTCCGCTGCAGTTCTGCGGGTGGTATAAGGTTTCTTTCCCGCCTGCTTCCTACCAGAGTCCCTGGCTTCCGCAGCCTTGCGAAGGCACAGCTGCTGGCCCTGAGAGCTGGGGACCAACTGCTGTTTCCTCTCTCACATTTCCATTCCCATTTCCATCATCACATAAATTTTCACTTCCATTCTCAAGTTTCTTTTGTATTTCCATCCCTTCTTAGTTGCACACTTCATTTTCTGTGTTTCTTACTTTCTAGAAATATGTACTTATGATCATAAAACATGTCTTTGAATATCTAAGAAACTGGCTATATCCCAAAGGTTTAATAAATACTGCCATATTGTTTATTTCCAAAATAGTTTAGTGTTTCATTTACTATTTTCCATGATCCAAAAGGGGCAGGTTTGTGTTCATGTGGATTTAGATCCCATGTAAACTTTCTACGTTTTTGTTGATGCAGGTCTAACAGGATTTTTATTAGTAGACTGGAGATGTTTTGTTGTTTTTAGTCAACTTTTATATGTGCTTGAAAAAAATTTTACAACTCCGTTCTATGATTTACAAAGAGTGATATGCCAATTACCAAACTTGCAACCGTGATTCTAATTCCATCTTTGGTCTGCTTTCTCTCTCAATTTTTGAGTAAAACATTAAAGTCTCCCATGATGAAAACAGATATGGCTAATCCAATCAGAATTTCCAAAAGTTTTCTTTAACACAGGTTGATGCTTTTAGGTCTACAACAGCAGAATTTGTAAATTTGTTTCTAAGCATAAATATTTTTTGCCTTATATTTGTTTTCACATTAGCATTGCTATCTTTATCCATCACGCTATCTTGACATCATCTGAATTTAGGTCTGTTTTCTAGGAGCACGCCAGAGATGGAAACTCCACACAAAAATCACCCTCAACACTTGGTAGGCCCTTGAACAAGCCTAAGTTTCTGCTCAGGGGAGTGTCCTCCCGTGACTACTGGGTCACTCTCTCTCTTGGCAGTTCTGTCCCCCTATGAGAAGTCCTAGCACATGGTTAAAGACACCTCTGGCTCTACCCTCCACATTCTTATAATTTTTTTCTAATACTTTTGTTATTACTATTACTTATTCCTTTGTACCACAGTCTCAGAGAAATGTAACACTTAATCTCTTGGTTCACGAAATCTATTTTCTATTATCTGTCCATCCAACATTGAGGCTTTCTAATGGGTTTATTTCTGCAACTATGCTTAATTCTAGAGACACTCAACTGGTTCCACTGCATAGCAGAAGCCTACGGAGAGGTTTAGGTTTACACTCAGGACACTTAGTCAGTTTTTAACATTTTCTCCTCATCCACAGTTAAATACTGTTACCTCAGTTTTCTTGTATCTATCTAGTGTTTTCTTGTCACTACTTTTTTTCTTTTTTTTTTTTTTTTTTTTTTTTAAAGATTTGTTTATTACTTTTTTGAAAGGCAGAGTTACAAAGAGAGACACAGAGAGAGAGGTCTTCCATCTACTGGTTCACTCCCCAAATGGCCACAATGTTTGAACTGGGCCAATCAGAAGCCAGGATCCAGTTTCTTCCAGGTCTCCCATGCAGGTGCAGGAGCCCAAAGACTTGTGCCATGTTCTACTGCTTTCCCAGGCCATAGCAGAGAGCCGGATTGGAAGGAGAGCAGCCGGGACTCGAACTGGTGCCCGTATGGGATGCCAGCACTGCAGGAAGGGGCTTTTACCTGCTATGCCACAGCACCGCCCCGTCACTACTTTACTACTTTTTCTTAAAGTTTTCCACGAGAGTTCAAACAAAATAGCTTTGGTAGCCAAACTATACTTCTTCAGTCTACTTTTAGTTCCATTCCTTTTATAATAAACACATGTTCCCACTTCATGAATCTATAGGAAACTGTCTTTGGCAGTGGGGAGATGTGGTAAGTGGATGCAGTCCTAAGGGTTTACATGAGTGTATATAAATGATCTTATTTTCTGGAATAAGGAGAGCTGTTCCTTAAAGCAGCACCAATTATCCAATTTTCTTATATCCACACCCACTTTAGGAACCTCCCATGCCACAGCTAACCCATCAAAAAGCTAACGTGGGCCACAATCTGTGGGCAAAGGCCAGCAAAACAGCTTCTGAAATCCAAGATTGACATGCTGCTCACCCATTAATCAATCACCCAGCAAATCACTGACGTCCTGTACCTCTTCTCTCTGCCTGTCGCTTCTGATCAGGGGAGACTGGGCTTCTGCAAGGAAGCCCTGCTGCTGGGAGCGGCTGCTTCTCTGTGACTGTGGGTTTCATCATCACCACCCGGGACCGTCTGCGCTGCATCTTCCCGGCGTAAATGCTTTAACTACGCAGGACGGCATTCTTTACTTCTGGTCATTTTTACTGGATTTGATAAGAAAGACAAACTAGCACACAGGCAGCCATTTTTTAAAGTGAAGTCAACCCAGTACTGGCCTAAAGTGCAAGTCTTTTCCAGAAGTCAAATATTAACAGGGAAAGTGTTGATGATAATACTTAAGAATTAGGAATTAAAGCCATCAAGGTCCACAGAGAAACAACCGGCAGGTTGCTGAAGACTTCACCTATTTAGAAAAAGCAAAAAGTACAAAAGACAACATCCCTTGCCCTCACTGTGAAGGCAGAACAAACATAAATCAATTTTACTTGAGATAATCTTAAGTTCTTTGAGGGAAAAAAATTAAAACAATGCAGACACGGGGAACAAAGGCCCTGCTCTGGTCAGAAGAGCCCCAGAAGAGCTGAGCAGTGGCATAACCTGCGGGTGCAGAGGGAAGATGACTGAACGCAGCAGCTGCTGCCGCTAGACAGCAAACCTTGGTCAAGTCTGCCACCTCTCTCGGCAATACCTATTTGCAGCGCTGTACTTTCCACACGTAGGAGGACCAAGAGAGCAAGAGCACATGGAATTCATGTTAGTGAGAGTGATAAACGACAAGTCAGTGACCAGTAGCAGAAAGGTGTAAGTAAGGCCTTGAGCTAGGAAAACTTGAACTGTGCTCTGAATTTTTTTTAAATTTAAAGATATTAAACCAGGTTAAAGTGATTTCTTATGAGACACCATATACTGAGAACAATTTAAGTGTTGCAGTCATTTCTACTCAGGAAAAAAGACCTTAGTGTGATGAAAATACCATTGTTTATATATTATTTTATCCATATAAAAAACTTGTGATATAGAGCAGGGTTTCAAATTCATAAACTCTGGTTTTTAGACAGAGTACAAAAAAAGAGACGCAAATGCCTAGGGTCACACAATAACAGAAGTGGTAAAGTGAAAACTGCGATTCCTCACCCTCAGGGTACGGCCTGCCATCCCTGAGACCAGGTACTCAGTGTAAGGTGCACACACACCGTCTCTATCGCCCACGCTCCACTCTACCACTTTTCTTTTTGACTCTGGGCCTTCCTTAAATTCTTCTGTCTTCAGAAAATACACTATAGGGCTTTGACTCCACAGCGTTCCTGCCTGACCTTAACACTGTCTATATATTGCATACCTAGCAAATTTAATGAACTGATAACCTGAAATCTAATGAGAAAATCTATACTTAATGAAAAGTGCACAAACTATAAAGCAATAAGCTGATTATACAAGTATATATGGAACAAATGAAAATCTAAAAACAAAAACAAAAACAGAAAACAAAAATCCAAACTCTACCATGAAGAATCGAGTAAACTCTGGCATTTCTCTAGTTCTGTGCAACCACGTGAATACACAAAATAAAACAAAGGCTATGATACCATGAAGAATCTAGTAAACTCTGGCATTTCTCTAGTTCTGTGTAACCACGCAAATACACAAAATAAAACAAAGGCTATGATACCATGAAGAATCTAGTAAACTCTGGCATTTCTCTAGTTCTGTGCAACCACGCGAACACACAAAATAAAACAAAGGCTATGATATACTCACTCTTATCTATGCTTCCGTATGAATCACTTGAGATCTGTGTTCCAATATGTCTCAATTCTAAAAACACATGAAGATGAACAGTTAAAACAAAAAAATGCATACTGAAACAAATTTTAAGCAACTATTAACTGAATACTCACCCTTTTCATTTTTCTGCTTAGAAAATTCATCAAGCTTTTCCTGTGAAAACAAAACACTGATCGTATTACACTAGAGAAGAAGTACAACTACCCAGGACTAAAGGTAGAAGAGGTGTGACGTGACAGGCGACTGAGACTGTCGTCCGACTCTTAAATCAGTTACAACACAGACACGACAGGAGCTCCTGAGTCAGGAACTTAACGTGCAAGTACACGAATTTATCCAGTACCTGTGTCTTCTTAAATTCCTTTTCAAGTATTTTCTTTTCATTGCTCAGTTGCTTGAAGTCCTGAGTTTGCCTGACAGCAGCCTCTTTATTTAAAAAGTGCAGTAAAGCAAGGGAGAGAAAAAAATTTACTAACTTTACTACCACAGTAAATGAAATGCTTAAAATCTAATCCTCTGTATATCATTTCTTAAAACTTTACAATAGTTTTTATGAAGTTATTGTTCCTTCAGAATATTACCCAGAGCTAAATACAGAAATGCTTAATTTATTTTTAATTGTTATTTTCAACACTATAGAATTGGGGAGAGCCTTAAGAATTGTTTCCAAACCATGCAGAACAATTGTAGACCCTTCGAGTCAAGGAAGAGCTCACTACACAAGAGGGAGATGCTGTGGTCCTCCTCCTTCTCCAATAAAATCAGCAGCCTTTACTCTGGAGAGGTTCGGAACTGCCATTTTATCTCGGAACACAGTCCACACGGCTCGCTCTCTTTGGTGGGGAGGGCATTCTTCCCAGCGTTTACTGTAGGCACTGCTACTCCTTCCTGGAGTCCCCTTCAACAAGGTAACCAACTCTAATTTATAATGCTTTAACTTTAATGTACGTTTTAGATATCTGTACAGTTCTCTGTACCTTCAGAAATCTTTCATTACAGTTTTCAGTTCCAGATATACTACTAAGAATCTGATCAGTACTGACTTTCTTAGAATGTTCTTATGATAAACTGCTAAGAAAAATAAAATTGGGGCCAGTGTTGTACTGTAGTGGGTTAGGGCACGGTTTATGATGTTGGCGTCCCCTATCAGTGTACTAGTTAAAGAGTTCCAGCTGTTCTACTTCCAATCCAGACCCCTGCTAATGCACACGGGAAGGCAACAGAAGATGGCCCAAGTGTTTGGACCCTGCCATTCATGTGGGAGACTCAGATGGAGTGCCTGGATCCTGGCTTTGGCCTGGCCCAATCTCAGCTATTGTGGTCATTTGGGGAATGAACCAGCAGGTGGAAGATAATGCGTTCTCTTCTCCCTCATCTTTGGAAAAAAAAAAGTAAAAGAAAAGTCCTATCAAGCACGCAGAACTCCTCTAACTATCCTGAGTATGTCTTTATGTCTTTCCTCAGTAATCTTTGCTATGCCATTTCACTCAGTAGGGAAAAATATTTTTACAAGAAAAATGAAGGCTACACTTCCCTTCACACTACTGTGAATACTGCATATATAAACTTACAAGCATTTAGGTTTCTTAAAAACATGTCCTTAGACACTTATCTTCACATACTAGAACGAGAAGGCAATACTTAAAAAAAGAACACAGTACTGTACTTCCTGTCTACGGTCAGTATTTGTACAACAACCAAGGCAGAGGAAAAATGTTTCCTAAGTATTCAGAGTTTAAGTCTAAAAAATATGGCTCAATCTAAATAAATTAGTGACTGGAAATAGTTTGAGCCAACTACTATTCCATTCGGTCCTTGAGGCAACTCATTGGACATTTTTACTTCCCATTCTAAATGAAAACTCAGCATCAGGGAGGAGAGCACCAAGAGTACAGTGGTCAGAAAGCCACAGGGGACAGGATGCACCCTGGGGTGAAAGGACGCTCGTGTGCAGGGAAGCACCTGGCAGAGCCTGTCTGCCCGAGCGGACCCTATGCCCACGTCCCAGCTGCACAATTAGGGGCGGGAAGGCGAAAGGAAGGTCTTGAGTTCTACTCCTGCTCAGTCCTGAAAAGGGTTATCAGCTGAAATGGAAGGGCCTCAGAGCCTCCTGCGCGGCCCCTTTGCACTCTGCCTACGCACTGCAGACTACAAGTCCCCGCGGGAGCGGGCGGAGGGAGGCTCAGGCACTCCCTGGACAATCTCCAACGCAGGGAATTCAGAAAAATCTCTATGGGTGTGCTGTAGCTGTCCAAATACATCAGTTTCCTGGCACCAAAAGTAATCATCTTTTCTATTAAGCACCTATTTCATAAGGAACAAAAAAAGTGAGAAAGCTCCATGGGATTCAACTTTCAAACCTAAATCATTTCACTAACAGCTACTTTTTATATATTAAAAAAATGGGGGCCGGCACTGTGGCACAGCAGTTAAAGCCCTGGCCTGAAGTGCCGGTATCCCATATGGGCGCCGGTTCTAGTCCCGGCTGCTCCTCTTCCGATCCAGCTCTCTGCTGTGGCCTGGGAAAGCAGCAGAAGATGGCCCAAGTCCTTGGACCCCTGCACCCACGTGGGAGACCCAGAAGAAGCTCCTGGCTCCTGGCTTTGGATTGGAGCAGCTCTGGCCATTGCAGCCATCTGGGGAGTGAACCAGTGGATGGAAGACCTCACTCTGTCTCTACCTCTCTCTGTAACTAGATTGCAAATAAATAAAATAAATCTTTAAAAAAAAAAAAATGGGCAGCTCTGATTGAGAGTGCAGAGTCCTATCAGGGATGTGCCACAGCCCATCTGCAGAGGACTATGTGGTAACTGAGAGGAATGTTCCATTCACACCTCTTCCTAATCATGTCTTGAAGCAATTACTCAGGGACGTGCCACCACAAGCCACGACTCGGGACAGGCACTTGGGGCAAGTTGAGATTCCCTGGACGGCTGCATCCTACACCGGATACTTGAGTTCGAGTTGCAGCTCTGCTTCCCATTCAGCCTCCGGCTGCTGTCAGTATCTGTGTCTCCCTGCCACCCACGTGGGAGACCCACAGTGACTTCCAGGCTCTGGCCTAGCCCCGGCTGTTTCAGACATCTGGGTAGTGAACAAGCCAGCTGAAGACCTTTCTTTCTTTCAAGAAATAAAAATTAAAAAAAAAATAAATGAACAACGTGGAGCAGGACATTTAGCATAGTGTGTAGTGGCTGAAACTTGGCTGGGACACTTGCACCTCATCGCCGAGTGTCTGCGTTTGAGACCCACGCCACTCCCAATTCCAACTTCCTGCTAACACGCACCTGGGAAACAGCAAGCAGGGGCTCAAGTGGATGAGCCCCTGCCACCCACTCAGAACACCCAGACTGAGTTCTTAGCTCCAGCTTTCGCCCGGCCCCACCCTGACCATCGTGGGCATCTGGGGGAGTGAACGAGCAGACGAGGGAGAGCTCTGTTTCTTTCTCTTGGCTGCTCAAATAAACAAAATAAAAATTACAACAAAAAAGCAGAGCTCAACTATTTGCTCAAGTAATACAACCTCAGTCACCAGGGATTCGTATCACGACCAATGACCTGCTTAGCTGAGTAACGAATGTCAATTACCTTCTAGCTTCTTCACCTTAGCTTCTAGTTTCTTCTTCCTAATAATAAATTGTATAAGTTAAATGGCAAAAAAACAACAGCGTAAGAGAACAAAGCACAATTCACGACATGTATTTTTACTGAGGTTTGTATAGCAAAGAAATTTCCAGTTACAAATACCATGTCAACAAGTGAAATTATCAGCAATGGTTCCGATGAAGAATAAATCTCGTACGGAACCGCATACTGTGTCACGTGCAACGCTGCCAATGGCTTAAGAAACCAGCGGTATTTCCCGTCTGAAATCCATGCCACTGATCTCTCCAGGCTCTGCCATGAGCACTGCTGGGGTCTGGCCTGACCCACGGTGGCGTCACCTCTGAGCGGAGCCTACGGAGCCAGGTGGCTGCTCCAGGAGGGCGCAGTAGCTAAGCGTCTGTTATTTCTCAGAGGCACACGTGGTTATCAGTGTCCACAGCAGTACCCTGTGGGAGGTAGTGGCTGCAGAACTGCACTTGTCTTAGAATGGAGCTCTGAGAGTCAGAGATGGTAGGTCCCACCGAGAGGGACTCCCAGAGTGCTAGCTCCAACACATCTACCCTAAACACTACTCCACGCTTGTTTTGTTCATAACACGAATACAGCAGCACATCTCAGACATGCACAGGATGCTGCTAGCAGCCTTCTCTGTTGATGGTAACAGGATACCCCTTCCACGGGACATCTGTAAAGCACCGGTTTAAGGTGAGGAATGAATAACTACATTTTATACACAAAAACATACAGGTACGCAAACAGACCAAAAACTTGTATCAAGTTCTTGACGCAGCTGTTACATACGATGACCTTTTTAATCCTTGCAACCCTTCAAAGGAGGTATAATTCCCATTGTACAGATGTAGAAACCAAAGCTGAGGGACTACAGCTCACACGCTTGACAAAGCCAGACTGGGAAATGAGAGCACGGCTGATCCCTGCGCTGGTTTCCAGGCTGGAGGCCCTACTCCGCGCTGGCTGAGAACTACTCACTGAGCGTCACTTTTCAAGCACTCTTCTTTGACACGAGTATATTCCTGATGAGTATCTTGATACAACTTCAGAGAACTCTAAAAAAAAATAAGAAACTATCAAACTGAAAGTCACTGACCACTGCCCCTAATTTGTTTTAATCTAATTAAATTATCTTCCGTTATAAACATGAGATTAACCAAATGAACAGATATTTTAGGCAGGAAATCAAAGCACACTTCATGACATGTCTGTGTGGTTGTTTAGGTCAGCACTGTGGCACAGCAGGTAATGCAGCTGCCTGTGACACCAGCATCCCACATGGGCGTTGGTTCAAGTCCTGGCTGCTCCACTTCTGATCCAGTTCCTGCTAATGTGCCTGGGAAAGCAATGGAAAATGATCCAAGTCCTTGGGTCCCTGCACCCAAGTGGGAGACCTAGAAGAAGCTCCTGGCTTTGGTCTGGCCTAGCCCTGGCCGTGGCAGCAATTTGGGGAGTAAACCGGCAGATGGAAGATTTCTCTGTCTCTCTCTCTCTCTTTCAAATAAATAAATCTTTAAAAAAACAAAATAAAATATTTTAGTGGTTGTCACTGGATTATTAATAGGTGCAATATAATTAACAGTATAATAAAGCAAAAGCTATAAATTTGAAACAATATACTAATTTTAAGACAATTCCAAATTCTCAAGACTGGTTTAAATATTAAATAGCTACGACATTTGTCTGAAACCAATTAAAACTGGATATAACTTAAAGAAATTGTAGAGCTTAACAAATATAATTTATTCTACTATGAAAAAATATAAATCACTATACTTAACAGTAATTTGAAAAAAATGTGTGAACACTGATAGCCCTTTCAGTCACTGTTTAAAGAGACAGTTAATAAGGATTACATTACAGTAGAATATGTGTTATCGTATCTCTTAAACCTTAACACGTCTGACAAATAAGCTGTATTACCCTCTTCTTACAAACAAGGAGTGAACGGCTTGATAGGCTGACTTATCCCTGGAAGTCACAGGGACCGAGTGACTAACTCGGGCACATCACCAAGGTCGGTCTCCAACGTCCAGGTTCCTCCAGATACAGCTGAAGAGATTCTGTAAGCGGGGCTAGTACTGCACAGTTACAGATAGCATAATTTCTACAAAAATAAGAAAATCAACAGGTATTGCTGCAACACGTAAAACCTGATAGCTCCGTGGCAATATCAACAGCCCAACGCGAGGAAGACTGGGAGGCATCCACATCTTCATGAAAACAGTGGAAGAGGTAGTGACGTGAACGCTCATTCCAGGGTGGCTCAACTCATCTCGGCAAACCACCTCACTTCATGGGCTGCAAATATTTTTATTGGGTAAAAGCCATGAATTCTCTGCTAAGATTTCTATAAAGAGTGAACTAAAACTTACGCATAAAAGTAAGTTCACAACATTTTAAAAAAAAACCATTTTACTGCAATTTGATGTTGAGAAGGAGAAATGTCTCCAAGAAAGAATATTTTTATTTGATTTTCCTATCTGAAGTAGTATCTCTTCCCAGTAAGCATCGCTGAAAAAGATCAACCATATCACTCCTCAAGTAAAACACATAACCTTTGGCCTTGACTTACTTATAAGACCATGTGACGTTACTGAAAGGCTCCCGTTTTGTGTACCTCTCAAGGAAAAGGACGGGAGAAATTGAAAAGATTATTTACAAAAAAAAAAAAAAAAAAGAAGAAGAAGAAGAAAAGAAAAAAAAGCACCAAACAATGCTGGCAGGGTTGCAGAGGCAGCGGATGTAGATGCTGCTTTATATACCAACTAATTTGTGAACTGTGGGAACAGGTGCTTTTTATTTTTTTTTTTAAGATTTATTTATTTTACTTGAAAGTCACAGTTTCATACACAGAGGAGAGGCAGACAGAGAGAGGTCTTCCATTCATTGGTTCACTCCCCAATTGGCCACAATAGCTGGAGCTGCGCCGATCCAAAGCCAGAGCCAGCAGCTTCCTACGGGTCTCCCATGTGGGTGCAGGGGCCCAAATCTTCCACTGCTTTCCCAGGCCGTAGAGGAGAGCCAGATCAGAACCGGTGCCCATATGAGATGCTGGCACTGCAGGTGGTGGCCTTACCTGCTACGCCACAGCACTGGCCCCGGGAACAGGCTCTTTCAAGGACATTGTGAGACTGTCAAAGCAGAGGCCCAAAGTGTTCTAACTACTGGGCTGGGCAGGGCTAGTCCAGGTATACCAGAAAACCAAATGCTTTCCCAGCCTCTCTCCATCACACAATAATTCCTCTACTTTTAACTCTGAACGAAAAATGTAAAAATGTAATAAATGCAGGACAGATAAAACCAAACAAGCACACAGCTAGGAGTTTCCACTAGATACCTCTTCAAAATTCTAAGCAACTAACCCAGGCCTGACTGCAGAGGTAACAGTCCCACATGGACCAAGGTGTTAATCGGCTGGTTCAGCGTTCTCTAAGGGCTGTAACAGTTGAGGAGCCCTGACTAGTGTTTATTTCCTCTCACAACACACGAGAAGTCCCTGGGTCCTGATCCCAGTGAATGAGCCGACCTCATGTATGGACACCATCTTTACAGGAATGCGGCTTTAGATACCTTCTTCTCCTCCAGCTCTGCTTTTAAAGACCCCAGCTCTTCCTGACATTTCTGCAGAGGCGAGATTTTCTGCAGCATCTGTTCCACCTGGTGATGCAGAGTACTATTCTCTCTATAAACAAAGCATAAATGCCGTTACGCATGCACAGTGATTTACTAAATAGATATGCTGACCATCTAGATCTCATTCCTAACGTCACACTGCTTTTTTATTTCTTAGGCACAGAGCCTATTTCTAACAAAAGTAAACCAAAAATCAGCTTGAGAAACATGTACATAGATTCTCAATCTGTTGGGGCTTAATTAGTGGGCAATTTGCTGGACAGCCTGGGTCCTCCAAGCTCCTCCCTGTTTATTCAAAGTAAGTGACAGAAAATTTTCTGTTTCAGTTTATAACCACATTTTGCCTTCTTGTAAATGACAAATGTAGTCACAGCATGAAGCATTGCTAACATTTTAAGCAGGTCTATTTTGAAGACGTTTAAAATAACACAAGATGAACAACTACATTCAATGATCTGACATGTAGACAACAATAGCAAGAGAGTGATACATTTTATCTGGATGACAAGGTGGTCAGTGAGTGACTGCAAAGGGAAACGCTACCCTGGTAACTGAAGACAGAAGTGATACATTTATTTGAACAATTTGACAATTAAGAAAAGGCGATTCTCCTTTCATTATGAGCACCAGAGCAACATTCAGCACTATGGGCTGATCCCATGTACGTTTCATTCACGCTTGCTTAAACATCTGGCCTGATAACGTCTTTCCCAAGTCCACCATTCGTGCAGGGATCACACAGTCACCAAGAAGGGTGGCTTACCTTCTTGCAAACTGCAGCTGTAAAGCTTGTTAAAGAAAACACTGAGAATCTTATTTTCTGGTATTTGTCTCAAGATAAAATTCACTTTACAATTATCTTTATTTCTGCTTAATAGACACACAGGCAAAATTATAAAAAAAAATGGAAGAACAATATTCAAGGTTTTATCTGTACTGAGTTATTGTGATTTAACATAACGTGTCAAAAAAAGGCTAAATATCTATTTCTAAAGCCTTTCAAATATAATCGCTTAGAACAAAATGCGGGCATTTGGGGAATGAACCAGCAGATGGGAACCTGTTTCTCAAAAAAAACAAAATCAACAAACAAAACAACTAGAAAAACCACTCAACTCAACTTTTTTTTTTTTTTTTTTTTTTTTTTTTTTTTTTGGACAGGCAGAGTGGACAGAGAGAGAGACAGAGAGAAAGGTCTTCCTTTTCCATTGGTTCACCCCTCAATGGCCGATGTGGCCAGCGTACCGCACTGATCCGAAGGCAGGAGCCAGGTGCTTCTCCTGGTCTCCCATGCAGGTGCAGGGCCCAAGCACTTGGGCCATCCTCCACTTCACTCCCGGGCCACAGCAGAGAGCTGGCCTGGAAGAGGGGCAACCGGGACAGAATCCGGCGCCCCGACGGGGACTAGAACCCGGGGTGCCAGCGCCGCAGGTGGAGGATTGGCCTATTGAGCCGTGGTGCTGGTCTCAACTCAATATTTAACAGTAGTTGTACCTAAAGCCATAAATCACATCACAAAACCAACTTCTAGAATTCAAGAATAGCATTATATTCACTTAAAAAGATTACCAATAATTTTATTGAAACATTTTGTGGCCAAGTTGTAGAAAACATAACTTCCATGCTAACTTACCTATATAATCACTTCAGAAAGTCTCTACCAGTTCTCCAGAGATAGTATAATCAGCATATACACTTCCAATATTGGAATTAACTATTAATTTCATTCTTTAGCTACCCAAGAGTAGTTTTAATTGCTTCTACATAGCTTTTAATATACATGAATAGTTAATTAACTAAAATAATATGCATTTATTAAAAGAATTGAAGTTCCAACAAATAAAGCACTTGAGATTTTTAATGACCTATTTTTGAATGTAAAGATTCAGGTACTAAAAATAAATCTAAATAAGATATTTTATTACCCTCATCACATGAATTCAGTATGATGGTACTGACACAAACGGTAACGTGTGACCATGTGCAAGTGCACGTATGTCAGGAAACAACACTGAAGCAGGCCTCACGGTGAAGTGAACTCCTGTCAACTGCTCCAAGTACATGTGGCGCTTGCTGCGGCAGCACATGTACTAAAAAGTACACGTACACTCATTCTGGGTGCAGAAATTTTCTGTTTTCATTGGAAATTTAAATCAAGGCAAGTGTTACCATACTAAGATGAGGAACAATCATTTATGCACACCTGTTTCGCCCTCTGCAAGCATATTTGGCCAGAGGTTGACTAGACTAAACCATCACATTTAAGCTTACTGGGCAAGTGATAACTAGACGCCCAGGAATTGTGAATACAGAAGTATACAGTATATTTTTAATTCTGAATATACATGTTATTTCTCTACAAATCAAAAATAATTTAAAGTCAGGCATAGCAGGTTAAGCTGCTGCCTGCAGTGCCAGCAGCCCATGTGGGTACTGGTGTGAGTACAAGCTGCTCGCTTGGGCCCCTGTACCCACATGGGAGAACTGGAGGAAGCTCCTGGCTCCTGGCTCTGGCTTGGCCCAGCCCTGGCTGTTGCAGCCTTTTAGGGAGTGAACCACTCTCTGTCTCTTCCTCTTTTATAGCTCAGCCTTTCAAATAAATAAAATAAATCTTTAAAATTTAAAGTTAATTTGCCAATATTTTGAATGTTCTCCCAGTATACTTTTTGCAGATTAAAAATCAATAGTCAAATAGCATCATTAGTTACAAGTATCCCTAAACCCAAGGAACAGATATCCCACAATGAGAAAAATCTACCTATTAAAGAGATCTTCAGAAAGGCATATCCCATAATGAAAACAAAATAAAACTTTAATTTTAGAATTTAGCATTATTAACAGTAAAAGCACTAGCTGTTTATTGTGTTTGTAAAAACTGCTCCCTACTTAAACCTATAAACATTTCCTTCCAAAAGATGGCTATGAAAACAATTCTCACATTTCTTCTAGGTACTGTATCTAAATTAATTCCAAAATTCAAAAGGAAAAGCCAGAAAAAGGATATCATCACATTTCTTCTGATATTCTGTTAACAAATTACTGTAACAAAGAAAAGATGAATTAGGTTACGATTTTATCTAGAAAAGACACTTTGCTAAGATCGTATTTCAAGTCATGCAACGCAGCCTCTCTTGCTAGGTTTCCTGAAAGAAACGTACACTACATCACTACACACCACCTTAAATCCCCCAAAAGCACTGCATCGCTATGCGCTTTTAATTTTAAATCCCTCCCATCCAAGTCACTATTGTACCCGACAAATTCATGAGATTACAGCACAATTTTTAAAAATTTACATCTAATTCAATTTATTAGAAATAAGCTGAAATGCTGCGAAATATGAAACATTGTGAGGCTGTTTCAGGTCAAGTTCTAAACTGAGAAGGCTTTGAAGACACACAGAAGCTTTTTAAAAAATTCCAATTTAGCAAAAGTTCATTTCCTACTAACCCACAAGCTTTGTTCTCAAGGCCTGTGAAGCCACCAGCAAAAGGTTCAAGTTGCTGCCAAGAGTTTTATAATAATCAGCACCATGTAGGCCCCGCCCCAAAATGAGAAACTCAAGTTTTCATTTCAGCCCCAGGGACCTAAAACCATCACCTGCTTCAGCCAGTCTGCCAGGTTTACAACATTCTGCCTAACACATGCATTATATACTCACTCAGTGTTGATAATTTTTTGTTTCAAAGTGATTAATGCTTCAACATATTCATTTAAATTCTGAAAGAAAAAACACTACAGTCAGCTATTTAAGTTTTTACCACATGTAATTACCTTAAATATATAATTATTTTCTGTATTATACGTGTTTAATGTATGACATAAACAGAAATATGCAAATATTATTTGTACTGCTTATAAACACATACATATTGTGATCTCTATCTGAATCTTTTTGAGAACAGTAACACTCCTTGAACAGTGAGGCCACTGGAAAGATACTTTCACAGTGTGTACTTTATCACAGAGCCAAGAAATATTAACTACTGAGGTTCACAAATTAACTAAGAGCCTCAGCCCTCACTCTGTACTATTTCTGAAAGGATTTAAGACATCCCAAAAAGACAAACACAAAAGCGATACAGAAAAACCAGCAAAATAATTAAAACAGTCACTGGAGGAGACAAATAGGAATATTAAAGTGGAGCCAAAATTAAATGTAAAAAACAGAAACAAAAACAAACTCATTTTATCAGGATCTGTATTATACCATAAGGACCAACCATAAATTCGACCGTAAGTCATTGAGCAGTGTTTAATGTTCCTAAGATTTACAGATGTTTTTTTCTTTAACTGAGTTCTTTCCTTTAATGTCTCCTTTTCTCATTAGTAAATACTTCAGAAATAACACTATTATAGCCTTTTCACATACAACACAAGTTATAATTTAATAACCATCTAGACTGTGCTAAACATTTGCTGATTATCTCAAAAGACCTTTTTCTAGGCAAACCAAATACTTCTGATAGTTACAGTACCATTCTTATGGTAAACCACATTTTCTCTGCAGTTAAACATGTACTGTGTCTCTTACAACAGAAAGCCACATATAAAACAAAAAAATGCAAGTTCTCTTATAATCCCACCAACAGTCAAAAATGGTTACTCTTAAAATTTTGGGGTGCCTTTCCAAATCAGTACAACCATGTAAACAAACCTGATGCACCCAATTTATCCGTTTTCTCTTGCGCTCACGTAGGTCCTGCTCAGCCTTACCAGCAGCAGGCAGTGACTGTCCTCATCTGCTGCTTTGAGAAACAGTCCTGCTTTCCCTCATCCTGGGCCAGAGCGCGTGTTTACATGGTTAGCGCGGACCCAGAACAGGGGTCTGCTCTGCCCATGACAGCTGGGATCTTCGACAATCTCAGAGACACTTTCCAGTAACATGCATTGGTGGTATTCAGAAACTTTCCTGATCACTTTTAGCTTCATGTTTTGCTTCCATTTACAGCTTGTTAATAACATTTGCTCATTGGTGTGGCTGTGCTTTTCTAATGAGCTACACTATTTGATAAGCAGTAAGCGCTCATCAAGTGCTGCAGGTAAACTCAGGTGTGTCTGCCAATTGATCATTAAAAGACAACCATACATGCATAAAGATATCTTCAGAAGGTTCTATTCTCCCAAGATAATGAAATGATTCCTCTTCATGCTATTCTAGCATTTTGATGCTATTTTTAAGTTTATATCTTTAATTCTTCTGGAATTTATTCTTATGAATAGTATGATACAGACTCTAAAAACATTATAAACCACAATAGCAACAGGACTGGCTGGTGGTATTAGTCTACCAACTTACCACATTTAAAAACAAACCTTCTATTTTACATACAATAAATTCTACATAGATTACAGTGATAAACAAAGCTTTAATGTTATTGGGCAAAATACAGGATAATATCTTTTTTTTTTTTTTTTTGACAGGCAGAGTGGACAGTGAGAGAGAGAGACAGAGAGAAAGGTCTTCCTTTGCCGTTGGTTCACCCTCCAATGGCCGCCACTGCCAGCACGCTGCAGCCGGCGCACCGCGCTGATCCGATGGCAGGAGCCAGGTGCTTCTCCTGGTCTCCCATGGGGTGCAGGGCCCAAGCACTTGAGCCATCCTCCACTGCACTCCCTGGCCACAGCAGAGAGCTGGACTGGAAGAGGAGCAACCAGGACAGAATCCGGTGCCCCGACAGGGACTAGAACCCGGTGTGCCGGCGCTGCAAGGCGGAGGATTAGCCTATTGAGCCGTGGCGCCGGCTCAGGATAATATCTTTAATAATATCAGAAAAAGATGAAAAGAAAATTCATATTACAGGTGGTAGTATTTGGGAACATTCTGACAGTATATTCTGTGTGTGTGTGTGTGTGTGTAAATGACACTTTTGTCTATTTCCAATTCTTATGACTTTAACGCTCTCTATGTAAGTTTTCTACATTCCTGGTTGGATTTCTTCCAAAATAATTTTTGTTGCAATCACTAGCATAAATGCTATCATTATATCTCCTTTGTTTTTCTATTAGACCCCCTAAGTGTATCCAACAGGTGCTCTGGAATGTTAACTTTTGTTTGTCAATTATCGTAAACCTGCTCATTTTACAATTCTACTTATGAGCATGGATACAAAAACCCTAAAGGAAATATCTGCAAAGTCTCACAGTGTTAAATAACCCATCTGCAGATTCTCTTGTTCTATGTGAGGAACTGTCCCATCCACTGATGACATTTTAGTGTTTGCTTTGCTTTACTCATGCTTACACTTTGTTTGCCCTCCTTTTCCATTTTTTAAAAAATTTTATTTATTTTATTTCAGAGTTAGAGGTATAAAGAGAGGGAAAGACAGACAGAAAGGTCTTCCATCCACCAGACCACTCCCCAAATGGCTACAATGGCAAGAGCTGGGCCAATCTGAAGCCAGGAACCAGCAGCTTCATCTGGGTCTCCCACAGATGCAGGAACCCGAGTACTTGGGCCATCTTCCACTGCTTTGCCAGGCCACAAGCTGAGAGCTGGATCGGAAAAGGAGCAGCTGTGACATGAACTGGTGCCCATATGGGATGTGGGCACCAGAGGTGGAGGCTTAGCCTACTACACCACAGTGCCAGCCCCTGCAGGAAATGAGACCTCAGCATAACATTGAATAGTAAGAGTGATAATTGGTATCCTTGTCTGAAATTAGAATTCAGTTTGTTCTGCTCCAGGTTTTTTGGCTGATATTCTTTAATCATGTCATGAAACTTATAGGCAGAACTTGCTAAAAGATTTTATCATGCATGAGTATTAAATAATCAAATTTCTGACGGCGCCGCGGCTCACTAGGCTAATCCTCCGCCTAGCGGCGCCGGCACACCAGGTTCTAGTCCCGGTCGGGGCGCCAGATTCTGTCCCGGTTGCCCCTCTTCCAGGCCAGCTCTCTGCTGTGGCCCGGGAGTGCAGTGGAGGATGGCCCAAGTGCTTGGGCCCTGCACCCCATGGGAGACCAGGAAAAGCACCTGGCTCCTGGCTCCTGCCATCGGATCAGCGTGGTGCGCCGGCCGCGGCAGCCATTGGAGGGTGAACCAACGGCAAAGGAAGACCTTTCTCTCTGTCTCTCTCTCTCACTGTCCATTCTGCCTGTCAAAAAAAAAATCAAATTTCTGCCTCTATGTAGTTTAAATAAACATGTACTTTTGTCCTTTTGTTAACTATCGTGGATTACAATAGATTTTTTTTAAAGATTTATTTATTTGAAAGGCAGAGCAACAGAGGAAGAGACAGAGGCAGGGAGAACTATTCCATCTGCTGGTTCACTCCCCAGATGGCCCCAACAACCAGGTCTGGGCTAGCCAGGAACTCCATCCTGGCCTCCCACATGGATGACGGGAGCCGGAGTATTTGGGTCAGTAGCTGCTGCCTTCCCAGGTGCATCAGCAGGAAGCTGGATCAGAAGCAGAAGAGCTGGGACTCCACCTGGCACGCACACACGGGATGCTGGCATCCAAATGCAGCTCACCCTGCTGCACCACAACAGCCCAACAAGAGATCTCTCGTGGGATAAAAACAAATGCACATCAACTGCTTAAACAGACTGATGGATCACTGCCCTAACATCCTGCTTAGGTGTTTTTCCTTCACCTATATTCGTAACTGATATGTCCATACCTTTTTTTGTACTACATCCAGTATTCTTAGTGACATCACATATGGCTCATAAAAATCAGACACTTTCTTGTTATTCAAAAAGTATAAGGAAGAGATAAATCGTGAATATGACTCATCCATGAGTAATTGTTTGCTAGTCTGTTAAGGTTTACCCTCATCCCCAAAAGACATGCTGAAGACCAAACCCCAATATTTCTGAATGACCTCACTGGGAAATAGGATTCTGGGCGGACAGGCATTCGGGGCAGGGGTTAGATGCCCCTTAGGATGCCTCCATCTCATACTGTCGTGTCTGGGTTCAGTCCTGGACTCCAGCTTCCTTCTAATGCATACCCAGGGAGGCAGCAGGTAACGGATGGCTCAAGTACTTGAATCCTTGTTACCCATGTGGAAGACCTCAACTGAGTTTTTGGGTATTGGCTTAGCCAAGCCCTGGCTGGTGTGTGCGTTTGGAGAGTGAACCAAGAGAGATATCCCAGCTCTCTGTCCCGCTCCTCTCTTTCTTTCAAAATAAATTTCTAAAAACCAAACAGGGTCGTGGCAGGTATACTCAGGTTAAAATGAGGTCATCCTGGATTGCACTGGGTCCCAACGCAGACATCTGGACAGACAAGGTAGACATATATGCACCTGTTTTTACTTCTTCCTAAAACCAGCTAAACCACTGTCAAAGGAATTTTTTCTTTCAAAAAGGCAAAACCTATAATGAGGAGAACAAGATAAAGTCAAAGGACACTGGAATGGAGATTCAAGTACTGATTTAGTGTGCAAAAAAGCAGCACTGGGGAAGTGGAGAACAAATTCAATTTACGTGCAAAACTTCCACAAGCTTGGGACTCAATGAGTTCTTCTGTAAACGGGAAAGGGGAGAGAATTGAAATACACGCTAGCTGTAGGCACTGACAATCTCCAACTCTCCACCAGGCCTTAGGGAAATCACCCTTCCACCATCCCAAAGAAGGCTGGTGTTTTGAAGGAGGTCACTAGCTGCGATGCTCTGGACACTCAGGGCAGGGGTGTTCTACCAAAAACAGAGGGGCTAAGTAAACAGAGGCACAGTGGTCTGACACTGGCCACCTGTGTCTCATTATTA